ATCCTCTTTTCCTCCCTCTTTCCCTTCCTCCCCATCATTTGTCTCCATCTCTTGTTATATTTCCTGGAAAGAAGATGAATTTACTTTGTTCCCTATTCAGTGTCGGTGATTACCGAAGTCATTGATTGGTTCATTGAGCTTGTTGTGCTATTACTCACACGATCGCACATCCAAGGTACATCACACAACTCTTTTTGTATTATGGCTTAACCTAATTTAATGTTCTATAGATCTGATAAAAGTGTCCTTTAGTAATTTAGTAATTGATACTGATTTCTGAAGAGTTGGTTGTATCCCTAAATGAATTATTCCTAGAAATTATGTAAGTGGGACTGACTTATATTACTCATTGGTGAAATTGTGCACTGTTCAGAAAACTGCAATGTTGACCAATATATATTAAGCATGCAAATTAGTATTATACTTAAATAATCACAATTGTGGTTGTATAATGGCTCCTTAGGTACTAAGAAAAGATTGGACCTGTTGGCTGGTGAGATAAATACAGTACATGAAAGGTTTTGGAAATAATATAATATAAACTATGAGATCAAATGACCAGAAATTGCTAGGCCTATGGATCTTCCTGAACATATAATATTTAACATATATTGATTTTAATTTGAGTACCATATGCATTTTTGAAAAAACATTGAGGCAGTACAATGGGATCTAGCCCCTATCTAATCATACGGCTTCAATATTTTCTCATAAATACATATTGTTCTTGTGATTACATTATGCTTAGCATCACTGTATGTTTTAATTGTTTATAAAAAATTTTTTTTTAGTTTTCCTGTCTTAAAGATAAATACTTTTTATAATTCTTGGAACATATTTAGTTTGTACATATTTCTGAGCCATTCTGAGCTTGGTCCTATTGTAAGTAAGAGTCTATTTGATCAGTAGGAGAGGATCTGAACAAAGGCAACCTAAAAATATAAGGAAATTACAGAAGGCATACTGGCCCACCCCACAGGAGGCAGCACTAGTTTATATCTACTTAAACTCATTCATATATACAATAATGTCTAATCTACGCACAAATGAATCCAGCGATCTCATGTCTGCTTGGTTAAATGGTAATTTGCTCAATAAATCATAACCCTATTGGCCCATATTAGGCAGCAGCTATTCATATCCACCAAACTCATTCATATGAATGTCTAACTTTTACTTAAAACTATCCAGCAATCCCATGCAACAATCTGCACCAGCATTGTGGGTCAGTTTATACAGGCCCCTTCAGGGTCAAGATAGCGCTTGGGCTCATTGGAGATCATTTGGTCTAGCACTGGGTGTTCAGCAAAAGGTTACCCACATAGCACTCAGTATGTCTTCTAACACTACTGAAAATTAATCAAAATTACATAGTATGATGCTGGTAACTACGACTATTGTTAGCCCAATTGCCAATTACCTCAACTACCACCAGATAGTAGCACTTCCACCACATGAAGGTTTACCCAGTTCTCCGCACTTCACATTCATTCTGACTGGGCTTGTATCGGTCATTGTGATACGCCAGATAGCCTGGCGTCACCCTGGGTGTGGAGCCTGGTGTCACCCTGGGTGTGGAGACTGGCGTCACCTTAAGATCCAAATCACATGACTGGTTTCATAATTCTCAAAATGTTGTTTTTGTTCTGGGAACTGACACTTTATTGACATTTTCACTTGTGTGTGGTTACAACTTTGTTGTGTTTTGTCATATATATACATTACTTTTTCTTCAGAATAGTGGTGTCGGGCGAACTCCTCTTGGAGTTTCCTCCTCCTCTCACTGCTCCTTATCGTGGGTTTAGACATATACATGTGTTGGTTATGCATTGAAAGTGATGACATTTCAGTCCATCCTAGACTCTTACAAGTCATTGAGTTATTTGTTTTAGTCATGTTATTGTGACTTCTTCTTTTTGAGTATAGAATATTCCTTCACTGAGAGTTTGATACAAACTATATCTTTAATTCCCAGATCACTTAATTGACTAAGCTGTTGTGATTTTTTTTTTGTTATTCTCTTACCTTTCATTGTTGGGTCTTAGATATGGTTTGACGTGGATCATTTTGATGGTTCGTTTTGCTTTCTGACGGTGGATGGTATCGAGTCACTTTTGCTTGATGTGTTATATTTTGATTCAAAATACTGTACTCTCCTTTCTGCCTTCTCCATTCTCCCAGTAGGGTACAGGTTACTTGTTACCTGCGGGTATGTGTTGAGTTCATGAGACAACCTTGTCTGATCCTCCTGATTGACAAGCATCTTACTCTGCTGCCACTAATCTACAGTCTCATGCACAGAAATATATGCACTAGGAGTTAAAATATCTGGCATTTATGGATTTATCTTGGAAGTCCATTTATTTTGAGGACATGCTGGAATGCCCAGCCTTGACTTCTTGAGAATTGTCTATTAGACAGTCAGAGGTAGGCTGTTTTCTAAAAGAAGTTCCGGACCAACCGGGCTGTGGCGGGTATGTAGGCCTGCAGGCTGCTCCAAACAACAGCCTGGTGGACCAAACTCTCACAAGTCAAGCCTGGCCTCGGGCTGGGCTTGGGGAGTAGAAGAACTCCCAGAACCCCATCAACCAGGTATCAACCAGGCTTCTAGATTTCTGCAGCCTTTTGCCTCTTAGAAACCTTTCATTGGTGCAAGTCTGACTTCTATTCCTTCTCTCTCCCTGGGGTCTTTCTCTTTTTCTGGAGAGATTCAAGTAAGTTTTCTGCTTCAACCAAGGCCATCATTGCTGCTGCATGTCAGTGGGAGAGTAAATGCCTTCCTTACATTGGTAACTTTCAAACAGGTAACATTCGGCTTGTTTGATTTAGCTCATGCCTTGGGTTGAGTGTTAGTCCTGGCTGGAGCTTGGTGGTGAGCACCCATGTACATTACTATGGTGTTGACCAAACCACACACTAGAAAATGAAGGGACGACGATGTTTTGGTCTGTCCTGGACCATTCTCAAGTCGATTGTGACAATCGATTTGAGAATGGTCCAGGACGGACAGAAACGTCGACGTCCCTTCACTTTCTAGTGTGTGGTTTGGTCACCATATTTCAGCCACGTTATTGTGACTCCTCGTCTGCATTACTATGGTCCCTTATTCTAAGGATTGTTTATTTCAACTGATTAACAAAGTGATGAAGGTGAGCCAACCCAACATATATCCCCAAGTACATGATTTGCATAATTTTGCTTTATTCAAAGCAGAAGTTTCTTTCCACAATATCTTGCTAGGGCATCGACATCTTGGGGTTTTTGGATGCTTTGGGTCTTTTGGGTGTCAGACATCATGCTTCTCTAATGGTGATAAACAGTGTAATGCCTCAGAAAATGTGCTTTTGAGTACGTATGAAAAGCACCTTTCAAAACGTGATGTTGTTGGTTCCAGTGTCTCCCTTTATTTCTAGCTCATTGGTGTTGAGTTTACTTTGTCAGAAAGTTGTGAGGAGTCCCAGGGAACTTAGTCTATTCTCTCTATTTGATACTAAAAAGTGATGGATGAACCCAGGCAACCCACTTAACAAATTGAGGCTGTTGCATAGAAAACGTAAATTTTACAGGACTCAAAATTTTTAAAATATGTTTAATTTTTAACAGATTGGTTGAGTCTTTTAAAACTGTGACATAGGGGAAAGGACAGGTTGGTCTACCACCTGGTCACGATTGGGGCAGTTGCCAGTTGGGCTAATTATTAGTTAACAGAGTGCTAGTCGATAATTTATATTAATTTAGAGTAGTAGTTTGTAAGGTTTTGAGTGCTGTGTGAATGGCTTTCTACCCGACATCTTATAGTGAACTGAATAATCTCTGGTGCTCTCTAGCACTAGTAAGATCCTGCAGAGGGTCAGTTGAATATGGCACGGCAGTGTTGGTGCAGATTATTGCTGTGCGTTGACTGCTCAGATCCTGTCCTATTGACTCAATAGGATCTTATCTTATAGAGTGGCAGATTCTCAGGCTCAGTAACGTTCTTCTCATAAACACTTTTTCTTTTAGATATTAACTATATGTAGCAACTTTAAATTTTATCAGCCACTTCTTGTGCCCCACCGTTTCGGCTGTTAATGTCGTTTTCTGTAGTAGATAAGACAAGTCTTAATAAAGTATTGTTTAATGAAGTCATTCATTTAATGCTATAATGTATAAATATATATAGCTATATTGACCATAGATACATGTGCACACACAAATGTTTAGGCTAGCATATTTCTGGTCACTCATACATACACAAACAATACCCAGACATGTTATTCAAGTGTTGACAGCACAGATTCCTGAATAAAATAATTTTAATTTCAATACAGTAACTGCCAAGTAAAATGCTAAATACTTCAACCCATCCATCAGAAATGTTGGTACTGTACTATACTGTACTTATAGCACGTATTGGTCAAACATACAAAAAATTAACTGTTGAACCCTAAATGTTAATGTTTTGTATCAGAATATCAGAATATTCCAGAAATTAAAGCTGTAACTATACAACCTAACCTGCCCTAGTCCTAAATATGCAGTGTTAAGCCTAATTTAGTATATAAATATACTAGTATATATATATATATATGCTATATGCTATACTAGGCTTAGGAAAATTTGTTTGGTTGCCTTCTTTCTTAAGCCCTCTATAAAATATATCGTACAAAACATGACCTTTTTGCGTGCAACAGTCCAATTTTGTACTTTAGACAAATCGTTGTTATAAGTACGGTACTATCATTTTTCGATGATAGGTTGGGATACTTACACACGAAGAGAGGAATGCTCTTGAAGTGATGATAAATCAGGCGAGAGAATGCCGCAGAATTGGGATATTTTATATTTTTTATAGTTTTTGATAAAGAGAAGTGAATAATTGGCTTAGTTTGGTAATGGGTATAGGGGAGGGGTAATTGGAAAAGGAGCACCCGGAATGGGTTACACACCTATCTGTATCCGGGTAGCTGACGTGGGTGGGGGGGGAAGCAAGTCTTCTACAGATTGTCTTCTACCAACAGACGGAAGATGCTGCTGAAGCTGCCGAAATTGACAGAAAGATCAAAGAGGTGAGTACCAGTCATAATTATTTTGTATGTCAATTTAATCTTGATGCAATATTGATATTTTCCATAATATACCTCAATTATGCAATAACCAATTTTAAATTTAGTATGCCATTAATTTATTTCTAGCTATGATCTACTGTATAAGCGACATAAAAAATCATTTGAACACTTCATGTATTAGGAATAAATGTGGCATAGATGTTTCTTTGGAAAATTACAAAAGTAATAAGAACAGTATATATGAAATTTGTTTATATACAGTAGGGTAATTTAGCAGTTGACAGTATAAGTGAGCAAACTCATTTATTAGAATACAAGTTTGACTAAGCCATTAGTCGCACTTATCTAAATAGAGATGTTAATAATAGTAATTATTTATCAAGAGAAGGCATCAAGCCAGGAAAGCATCTTGGCTTGCTGCCTTTTGTTGATAATTACTTGTTTGTACTATCTATAAAATACTGGTTGCCCTCTGTATGACCAACCACTTAGGCTGATCGATAGAGTGACTGTCTTGCTTCATGCAGGTCGATGTTCAATCCCCGACGGTCCAAGTTGTTGGGCACCATTCCTCTCCCCTGTCCCATCCCAAATCCTTATCCCGATCCCTTCCATTTGCTATAATAGTCGTAATGACTTCTGGGAGTTATACTCTTAAAGCCCGGCCTGAGGCCAGGCTTGACTTGTGATAACTTGGTCCAACAGGTGGTTGCTTTTAGCGGCCCGCAGGCCGACATCTCCACTACAGTCTGGTTGGTCCAGCACTTGCAAGAACTTAACTAAGTGCCTCTTGAATACATCCACCCTCATTCTGGCAATATTTCTAATGCTTGCTGGGAGGGTGTTGAACAGCTGTGGACCTCTGATGTTCATACAGTGTTTTGACAGACATAAGAGTGTCATAATAACAGCTTTTTCAAGTTTTTTAATAGAATATCAGATTACTTTAATAATAATGGGCTTGAGGCTTGATGGATTATAGTTCTCATTTCAGTACTGTATAGGGAAAATTATTAAAGTATGTAGTACTCTTTGTGTTTTAAAATTAAAAGTGTATCTCAAGTTAGCTATATTAACAAGGATAATCTAACAGTAATTTACCATTTACATGAAAGAGACAATACTGTATGTGAAATGAGAAAAAGCATAAATAAACCATAGTTAAATAGAATGTAATTTGATTATACAGTGACACCTTGCTTGAATGGACTAATTGGAACCATAACTAAAGAGTATTTAACTGTTCCTGATCACAGAGAATAAAAGCACATCTGGCTACAATAGGCTATATCCATCACAGAAAGTCTCACTTAAACTTTATTACACAAATTTGAATAAATATTCAAATATTTTGCAAAAATGTTAATATATTTTGTATTATTATTTACTGTTAAAGAATGGAGAATATTAAGAAATTTGAAAAAATTAAAATTTATCACATTTTCGGCGGAATTGGGTCGGTTTATTATGACCGCATGTTGGATCAGGATCTTTAGGATCAGCAAGAGTAGTTCTGTTAGTCAGTTCTTTCTGGTAGTCAAGCCCACCAGGAGTTTGTTCACTAGCCATTTCAGTCTGGCCTTATAATAGTTGCAATCCTCCTCAATGCATTTGAGTGAGGTCTCACTTTATGCAGCTTGTGCTGTATCTTCTGGAGATGATTTCGGGGCTTAGCGTCCCTGCAGCCAGGTCCTCGACCAGGCCTCCTTTTTTGTTACACACCCCCAGGAAGCAGCCCCGTAGCAGCTGTCTAACTCCCAGGTACCTTCAGTATTTACTGCTAGGTGAACAGGAACAGTAGGGTGAAAAAAAAAACTATGCCCACTTGTTTTCGCCTCTGCCGAGGATCGAACCCGGAACCTTAGGACTACGAATCCTGAGTGTTGTCCACTCATTCATCAGACCACCCTACCCTACTTGTATACCCGTATGAATGAAATGAATCTACAGTATGAAAAATGCTAAGCATTTTTTATGATATGCTTAGATATGAACGTCAGAGCATTTTGATGAAGTTCATGTATTTGCAAGAGAAATGTAGTCCTGCAATATTAATTTTGGCTATACCTGTAAATACATTTAAAGTGGTGAATGAGTACATATCTATAAATTATTTAAAATATGTTTAAAATATGACTTCTAAGATCTTGAAATTTACTTTTAAACTTTCAGTACTGAATGAATGTGTTATGAGGTGTTTTGATACATTTTGATTAGGCCACATGTAGCATTTTTTTTTAATATTAGATAATATAAGCAGTATTTATTTACAAATTTAAAAAATTCACTTTAATGATATTTTCCAAACCATTACTGTATTTTAATTGACTTGTATCGACTTAGGTAACGGATTTGACCCGCATGGATGGCAGTGAAGATGACAAGATAAACGCTATGGTTGCTCAGTCAACGATGGCTTATCACCCATCAAAGTAAGTACAGTATCTCATAAGGTCCACGATATTCACAGTTAGTATTTAGAAGAGAAAATATCAAAATAATTTATAAGTGTATATTTTCTAACTGATTTTGTTATATCCAATGAAGCATTGAAAAGTAAATGTAAGTCAATTAAATTATCTGTATGATGTTTATAATATTTATGATAATCACCCGTTAAGTATATCAGTATAACAGACGATGAGATTGTATATTGGGAATAGTGTGTAGTGTATTATACTTGGATCAGGTATAATACCACACGTGAATAATAACAGGTATAAAATATAAGCCAAAGCTCTGAACTCTACAAGTAGGTGTTCTGATGTTTATTTTCTGCTAGATCTAGTTAGGGTTCCTGGTGTGAAACCGATTTGGTATCTAGCTAGAGTACCTAGTACTGACTTAACTGGTTCCTTACCTTTATTTCTTGTGTGTATGCGCAAGTAAGCAGAGTATCTAAAAATAGTGCCTGATTTAATGGTGTATGCTGAAAATATCTATCAGAAGTCTAATTAAATGTTCCTAATCAAATCTATAATGTTTTGCAGATATGTAAAGCTTCGGGTTAGTAGAATGATGGGGTCTGTACCTATGGACTACAAGTGCTACAAATGTCATCATAGTGGGCACTGGGTTAACATGTGTCCGCTCAATAACGTAAGTTAACACTTGTACGCTAGCGCTTAACATTATTTTATATGCTTAAAATCCATAATTTGAATGAATCTGTTTGTTAGTTATATAGTATTTTTCTGGGAATGTGATGAAGAAAGGGAGACCACCAGAACAATTTATTTCTTTACATTCAACAATTTAAATTTATTTTGTTTTTTTAAAGAAGACCCCTGAAGGAATATCTTAGTTTTTATTAAATATATTCTTTAATTTAAAACATTTATTGTGGTCATAGAATATTGGCTTGAAACAGTAAAGATTTTTGTATGTTGGTGCAAGGAAGCTCCCTGTTGTTATTGGGCCAGGTAGTTCCATGGTTACAGATTTTAGAACTGTTTTTAATAATCATCGGGGATGGGCGGGTTATCTTAAGTGATAGCTAAGAAAATACTATATATAAAAAGGTAGCTTTCTTAGATGTTGTGTTACTAGTTTTGACTGGTTTAATATATTCATAAACAAATTGTACATTTGTCATAGTTTTAGATTAAAACTAAATTAATTTGTTTAGTGGCCTTTTAATTAAATTTTAGTTAAGTTTAATTTAGGCAATAATACAGTTAAGTGAATTTGTGAATGATTACACAACTATGTATTCATGTTATTAGCATTTACAAATCTATTTCCATTTTAGCAAGACCTGCGCAAGAGCACTGGCATCCCATCCAAGTTCTTAGAGGAGGTACATGACCCAAATGCTCCAGGTGTTATGATCAATGCATCAGGCAAACTTGTCCGCTTGCTGGATATGTAAGTGTTCGGTGTCTTGTAAATGTGTTCATCTTGTAATGAAATCTTTTTTCAATTGCAGATATAGTATGATATTATTTTGTATGTTATCAGCCATATTTCTTAATAAAAATGCATGAAACAAGTTCATAACACGTTATATAGTAGAAGACGGTAACATAAAATAAGTATAAAATAGATCCATTTTGATTTGGCTTATGTCAAGTACAGTGAATACTGTAATAACTTTTGTTGTTCAACTGCAGAAATAACCAGGATAACTATAACTTAACTGCCCACACGTGAAATGAAAGACAACATTTTGATGCATGCAGGACTCTTATCAAGTCATGACAAGGGTCCATGGCTGGCCTAAACATTGTCTCTTTCATTTCATGTGTGTGGGTTTGATTATTTGATTTCAGCCATGTTATTGTGACTTATTCTCTGCACAAGGATAAATTTTTTATTTGCTGCAATTTGTTAATAAACGTTTTTATGTTACAGGGGAGAACCTGACCATGAAAAAGGTGACCCTCCGCCTGGTCGTCCTCCACCACCTGAAGAAATTGTGTGCTCAATTTGCAAGGAGTTATTAAGAGATGCTGTTCTTATACCATGCTGTGCCACTGCCTATTGTGATGAATGTAAGTACAATATAGTACAGTACTGTATATATTTGTTTATTTTATTCATTATTTAATTGCAATATTTATATTAAAACAATTTGCCAGGAGATATCCTATTATGTGTAAGGGGATTTAGTGTTCTTGGCTTCTTCAATGTGTAAATATTTTTGCTTTTATCAGTTTATTACAATGAATTATCAGTTTTGGGAAAGTTTTTTTTTTCTTTTTTTACATTGTCTGTAATGACAGTGTCATGCTTTCTGTGGGGATCCCCTATGGCTCCCCGGAGCTTACTGGGCTGATATGTATGTATTAGACCGTGGCATCAGTTGACTGGAGTTCTTGCCTACCAGGACCCACTTACAAATGGAACCTGTCCATTTCTATGAGTGCACTTAAAATCCTTTTTGAATATTTATATAAAATCCTTTTTTATATTTTTTCGGTATACTTAAAACATAGAACTGTTCAATAGTTCATATAGTTCAATGTGTTATCTTGTGTATCATTTTATATATTAAAAAGAGGTAAGTTATAAGTGATATAGCTTCTTTAAGTTTCATTTCATGGATTTAATTTCCTCTTTTTAGGTATTCGCAATCATCTTTTGGAGTCCGAGGACACAAGATGCCCTTTCTGTACAGCGGAGGATATCAGTCCGGACACCCTCATACCCAACCGCTATCTTCGTATCAAGGCTACCCAGTTTGAAAATGGATGGTATGTATAAAAATGCACATGATTGAGACATATGTATTCATATGTATTTGGTACTATCGAGTATCAAATGCCTATCTTGCAGGGCCTGGGCCTAGTGATTGGACACCATTCCTTCACTCCACGCATCTTCCTTATTTTTCGTATGTTTTTCTTCACATGAGAAGGATGTTTAAAATAACTCTCCAAAGTTCATTTTACAATTTTTAAGACCTGATGCTAAGAGATGCATTTTGTTGACCTTTGTCAACATTTTCAAAGGCAGAGTTCGAATTGTTACAAGTTTCTGTGCTTCTGGATATATGGCCAGGGATGAGGTAAAGCACCTCATTTATGAGTCAATTGGCCCATTACAGCTTACCCATCCCATATGTTTCCATGATGGCTGAGGCAGTATATTGTATGTTTTGTCGTGTTCTTGAAGATGGCAGTATTATTTGATGTTAGCTGTTGAGAGGTTGGCATGGCTTGCTTGATATATAATGCCTCACTAATATCCAGTCTTTTTTAGTGTTGCTTTATATATATATAGATTATTTTGGTGGTGTTTTCAGGATATCTCTGGCGATGATACGGTTATGTGTTGAGACTACATGTTCCTTGCTGTTTGTATATTGTTAGGCACCTTGAAAGGGATATTTTTTACCTTTATATTGAGTTAGTTGGGGCTTGCAATCCTCAAGTAGGTATTTTTGGGTCCCCTACAATGCAATTTCCATGTTCTTTATATATACACACACATGCTCTTCTGCTTGATGGGGTTCTGGGAGTTTTTCTACTCCCCAAGCCCGGCTTGAGGCCAGGCTTGACTTATGAGAGTTTGGTCCACCAGGCTGTTGCTTGGAGCGGCCCACAGACCCACATACCCACCACAGCCTGGTTGGTCTGGCACCTTGGCAGATGAGCAGACAGTCATTCTCTGAACTAAACTGGAAAGGATACCTGGCAGTGTCTGGGACAGTCTGTTTCTTTCCCATCCCCCCTTCCTCCTCCTTTCCTCTCTCACTTTTCTCTCCCCGAACCTGGTTTCTGTTAGTGACATCCTGCTTAGCCTTCTCCAGCCTGGTCACAAGAAACAGGATCGTGCACAGCCTTTCCTGTCCTGATTCCTAACAACATCCTCATAGCCTCCTTTTTTAATGCTCCCCCTTTTTTTCTTAGGATTAAATGTTAGTATAAGAGTGAACAATTGTGACTACTGTAACTATATGTAGTACTGTATATGGGTGACTACTATATATATTAGCAAGTTTGATTTATAACTGAAACCGAATATGGGAATTTATAGAGCTGGTGATTTTCCCCGTGGGATAATTAAAGCTGATAATGTAGAGTAATGGTGCTTTGAGCTATATGGAGCATTTATGTTTTTCAATACTGGGCAGATCATAGTCAAGTTGAATAAAGTTGTAATTACAGTAATGGTGAATTTAAGAAAATGCTTTTACTGTACAGTATTTGCAATTAACTATCCAAAAAACTAATGCTTTGGAACAGTAAATTATTTAATTTAATAATATGAATTTGCTTAGGATGTTCTTATATCTATATGAAGTATAACAATGTCGATATTATACAATAAATCTTACATTTTTCCAGGCATATATTCGCTAGAAAGCTTGACAGAGTTACATCCGAGCCTTTGTCATCCATTCCAACACACATCGTGCACTCGAGTAACACTCCAACACCACCCCGGAGCCCTGCTAGATCCTCTAGCCCAGCTAGCGCTAAAATGGCTGAGCCAATTATCTCCCTAGGATCTATTTACCCATCAAGCCCGTCCAGACCCAACAGTGCTGAAGAGCCTACGGAGAATGGAGGAGGAGATTCCGATAAAGAAAATATGGTGGAAACGGCAGAACATCTGACTCCTTCAGACGTTATTAGTGAAGCCATAGAAGAGAGTAACATTCACATAAAGGAGCTTCAGGAGGCTGACCATCATCAAGTTGGCGAAGAGCAAGATCACTTGCAAGCTGTGTCAGAAGCTGTCACCGAGGTAGAAGGCAAGCATAAAAAGAGCAAAAAGAAGAAAAACAAACGCAAGGCTAGTAAGCATGAATCTGAGGAAGAGAGGGAAGGTAAAGAAGGGAGGAAGAAAAAGGACAGAAGACATTCTCATAGAAGTCAAGATGGTAAATCAACTGACACGGAAAAAGAATTGATTCACGAGGCACTCGCTGAGTCCGAGATTAATGACAAGGTTGTAATAGATGCTGTCGATGACACATGGAGTAGTAATAGGCTGAACGAAGAAAGTGTGAAGAGTAGAAGTAAAAGTAGAAGTAGAAGCAGAAGCAAAAGTGTTGAGAAAGGAGATACAGACATAAGTGCAAGTCACTTTGATAATATTGTGCCATTTGATCCACGCGTACCTCCACCTGGTACCTTCGTCCAGTCTCCACCCAAGGAACCCTTTTATCCTGTTCCATCAACATTTGCAACTACTGGTATGTACCTAAATACTAGTTTATGTAATATTTGTATTTTCATCAGTGATAGACATCAGTGATAGACACCATTGCAGTATTGTTATTTTAACATGAAACATAATCTAGTCATTATTTTAAAATTTGAATGATATGTTAATTCACTTAAAATGGGAAAATATTGAAGATACGTTTAACCCATAATGTTCCTGTCGCTAGTGTGTATCCCTGAATAATTCAGGGATGCGAGTCCGATCCTGTCATATGACTTAAATATTTTCCCATAGATACATCATTTTCTTGTGATTTCATTATTCATTTATAATATTTTTCAGCTCCACCAACCCACGTACCTGGTGTGGTAGTTACTACAAACCAATATCATCCATTTCAACCAGGGTAAGTTTTATGTTTTGTTAAATAGTTGTTAGACATAGATATTATAAGAAAATATTGAAGCCGTATGATGGGATCGAATTTGCATCCCTGAACTCCTCAGGCACATGCACTATTGACTGGACCATGATGGGCTTGGTCCAATCAGAGTGCATGTCTGAGAAGTTTGGGGATACAAGTCGATCCCATTGTACAGCTTCATTATTTTCTTACAGATTCGTCATGATTTCTAGTGATTTCATAATGCATATTATAAAAAATGTAGAGGGTGTTGCACAATTTCTTATAGAGTATATCTCTCATGTGGGAATGGTATTAGAGAGATTTTGAAATGCATGTATCAAATGTCACTATAGAACTGCACTTGCTCCCAATGGCTTGTAAATGATGTTTTGAAGTAGTTTTTCTCCTACTTGCAAGATGATTCAAGTTATGTTGAATAACTTTCTTTTCATTGACTTTGTGGTATTTATGTTTTGTTTGGGTACTCATGCAAAAGAGCCTTGCAAGTTGTTTGGTTTTGTTGTTGTTGCTAAAATTTGCAACGAAAGAGGTACATGGGCGGCAGACATGCTGAGATACCACCAATGCTGACCTGTGGTCAAGTAAAGCTTGATTTACACCACGTGGAAAAGGATATTGTTTTATAACTATTTGTTTTAATTGTAATGGAGGTATAAAGTGTTTGCGACGTGTTGGCGAGGAGCACCACAACGTGCTGACGATGTCGTAGAGAAACATCATAAAGAGAAGCCTTTAGAGCAACTTTTCTCAACCTTTTAACCTTGCAGAACCCTTGAAATAATTTTCATGTTTCAAGGAATCCCTGCATTAAAATTATTACATTATATATATATATATATATTTATTAATTAATCTAAAAAATACATATTTATTAATCACAAAAAATCAACCATGTCTGCAAACACAAAAAATATGCGTTGACGAGGTTGAGAAAGCATAAGATAAATCAAGGCAATATGAACGAATATGTTGGTCAAGACAATGTTATTTTTTAAACCAATTTTGATAATGAAATTTGTTTGTCAAATGTGAAATTTGTGCTTGTCGTTTTGTTCACAAATATTTAATTCTGGTTCAAAATTTAGATAAACATACACACGGATTTCATTTTCAGCTGAAAGAAGAAGATTTTTGTCTTTGCTCTTGATACTGGTTAAATGAGGGAAAGCTTCCTCACACATGTTTCAAGTTGAAAACTGTAGCAATATATTTATTACTTTCTTCTATGAATGGCAGAATAATTATCTTTCACAGAAATCCAGAACTTATCCAGGGATAGTTCAGTGAACCTCATCTTGTACAATCAGATTGTAGCTTACAAAGTTTCTTCCTCTTCTCTTAAAACGCAAGTTCAAAGGATGAGCAGAAGATACTGTATAGAGTATGAATCCCTCATCCAGTCATACACTTGTATTGAAAGAGAGGGGAAAATATTGTTCAAGTTTGATCAACAGTTCTTCTAGAGGGTTTCAACAAGACTTGAAATTTACGTATATCCTTAATATCCAATATATCCCAGCAGTAGTTGAAACATTTCAAGATTTCCTTTGGCATCATGATTTTTCCAATGATTCAGTCTTCTTAAATCCAAGAATCTTGTCACTTGAACTTGATACATTTTGGCAGGTTCTTGCAATGACTAGTTTAACTGATTTACATGATTAAAATTGTCTGCTAAGTAGGCTAGCTTCTGCAACCATTCTTCATCTTTAAAGCAGTTGGCAAAATCACATTGTTATCTCTTGCGGAATCCCTAGTTATCTTTCGCAGAATCCTAGGGTTCCGGATAACCCCAGATGAGTAATGCTGCTTTTTAATTTAACATTAATCTTGTTATAAACATTCTCAAGTGATTATGGTAATGTTATCTACAATTATTAAAGAAAATCAAATACTGTAATTAGAACAAGGGGCATTGACTCTTTGATTTCTTGGGTAGTGGGCCATACCCAACAAGTATGGGACCATCAGTTCCGGGTACCAATGTGGCAGTATCAAGTCACGCTGGTGTTGTACAGGAGCAGCACGCACCTGCAGGGCCTCTTCATACACGCTCAACTGACCTCTCGTGAGTTGTGCAAAACTCTGCAAAAGTGTAACCTTTGAATGTTCCTGTGTTTGCTTTTTACTTTGGATGTTCTTTATCCTTCCAGCATGCTAAATAAATAGTCTGGTGAAATTTAGCTCTGCAAAAATTTGTTCTATCAATATTGGTAATCCAATGTCTCTGTACTTTGGACATCTTTTAGTTTTTATGTAATTTTGTTGTAAAATTAGGAATTACAATAATTCTTGTGTATAATTTTTTGCTATGGAAGTTTGTCTCAGGTTTTGTTTGGTTCCATAAATATTATAAATGTTAATCTGGACTCTTCTTGCTTACTATCCCCGCAAAGGACATTACTTGTAATTTTACACCTTTAAATATTTGGCGATGCTGTATCTGTGGAATATATCTTGAGAGATATAGTATCTTCAAATTTTGGAACATTTAATTAAGTATGATTATAACGCAGAGTTTCTTATTGATATAGGGCAATATTTTCCCTGGGCAAATGATGTTGATGTAACATTGAATCAACATTGAAAATGTTAATTAAACATTATGTGAGCATGTTTTGCCCGCTTGGATAGACCTTTTGTTTCCTGATTTGATGATTTATTTCCGACCTGAGCGGTCTTTGTCTCCATATGAAACAGCTGCTATTAATATTTTGAGATGTATCAAATTTGATTCACATATTTCTTAATATCAGTGTGCTAGATATTCCCATCTAAATTGGAGGACCTAATGGCATTTCATGGACATACTCTTAATTGTTAGTAATTTTTGTTTTTGTTTGCATTTTGGATATCTCAAGATTGGATAATCATTTCATATTTGGTATGAAAGCAAGTATGAAATGATCACACAGCTTTATTTAAGTATCTGTTTATTTACTGTTCAGATATTGATCCTCCCCTCCTTCCCCATCCCCCAACCTTCTTACAATCTTGAAAGTAATTGTTGCACATATTGGGGTGTATATTTTTGGTCAGTATTATATCAGCAGTGAACATTCCATATGCTAATAACCCAACCCCACACAAACAAAATTAAATGAAAGTAACGATGGCTTGATCCATGTGGACTCCTATCAAGCCGGGACAGACCAAAACATTCATCACTTTCATTTTATTTCGTGTGTGGGTGTAGGTTGAGTTATTTATGTCGACCGTGTTATTGTGCCGTATTATCTGTAAAATTTATGTTTCAATGCTGTTTTTCATTTTTGGAAGTACTGTATGTATGAGCCTTTGAAAAGAAACAGAAAATATCTTATAACCAGTAATTTAATCAAATTATAATGTATTTTAGTGGTAATTTTTAGCTTAAAATTTGAGAAGGAAACAATAGCTTTATAATACTGTATGTATAAACTTTCATTTTTTCAAAACATCATTATTCCTTATTTAAATAAACATTTACCTACCTACTTTAATAACTTTTAATTAGCTGTTGCTTTACTGGTGTCAAATACATTTATCTGAAAGAGTACTGTACAATTTATGCACATAATATATAACTTTCTGCCTTTGTGTAACCTGTGTTATATAAAATTTGAAATCTATGGTTGTAATTTGAGGAGTTAGTATAAGTGGTGGTGCTGTAGTCTGACCTGGCTACAACACCTCCATCTGTTGGCGTTAAGTGAGCTCCTAGTGACTTGATGGTTTCTTGAGAAGTTGTGTGGAAGCCTAAACATTGTTTGTACAGTTTATCCTCTGGGCAAAGTTTGGCTTTAGTGATTGTTCTGGTATCTCTGGACCAGCCACTTTCACTGCCTCTGCACCTGTAAGATGCAGTCCCTGTTGGCCCTTTGCTGGCTACTACATCGCTGGCTTCCTTTTTGGGCTTTTCGAGGTTCAGGTGTCTTCCCCCGCCCTCACTCTACATCTTCACAGCTTCACAGATGCCTCAACTCTGGGTAAAGGCATCTGTGACCAGCACTCACCAAGCCAGCCAGGGTTGTTGGTCTTCTCCACTTCATTAGGCATTTAGTATGGTTCAGGAGTTTGTGACTGTGTGGCATGTGCTGCGGAGGATGCAGATTTCCCTTCGCTCCGTGCTTCAGCTCCTTTCGAACTGTTCCCCCATTGTTTATTGTCTCAACTGGGTGGGGTTCTCCTCTGTTCCTGACTTGTGGGAGCTGGACATTTCAAGTAGCTCGACTGCTGGGTTCTGCACTGTTCACATCCAGGGAGTGTCCAATGTTCTCAAAGATGGTCTATCTTGGTTCTGTCCTGTTTCTACAGAATGGACCGCCGATGCCGCCTTCTTTCCTCCTTTGGCTTTGTGAGACTTACGGGTTTCCTGATGTGGGCCTTTTTGTGTCGGTGTGGAATCAGCTCCTTTCCTTCCTACTGAGCCACAATCACAGGAAACAATATGTTTTGTTTCAATATAAGAAATAAGAAACAATATAAATATTAGTTATTTATAGTGTGTGTGTGTGTGTGGAAATAAGAATTATGGTGGTTGTACAAAAAATTTTGAATATGGTCATACAGTATTTGGACTTCCCCCTGTAAGAATTTTGATTATCCGAATGTCTGGTGTATCTGGTGAGGGGTCTTTCCCATATAATTCAGATAAGCGAGCCTAAACAGTATTAGCTTTTTCTTAATTGTATCCTAAAAATAATTAAACTAATATTATTCGTTTTTGTAGTGACTCCTTGCAGCTATGTTATTATTTTTTAATTTAAACTTATAATTAATAAAACTTATAATTACAGTATCAATAAATGAATTTTCCACATATTTGTCACCATATATCATTTTCTTTCTCATCGAGGATATTATGCATACATGTGTACAAAAATTATGTTATTAAAAATGATTTAATACTTTTACAGGATACCGCCACCAAACTTTGGAAACCCTGGTGTTGGATATCCAGGTCATGTTCTACCTTACACAGAGTAAGTCCAAAGCCCAATAATTATTACACAGACAAGAACCACATTGATAATTCTAGTTGTAAACATTTAGTTTTGAGGTTACAATATTTGTTATGATTTGACTTATTTCTATTATAAAAAAATGAATGTAGAATTCATGAAACTTGTTAATGACTTGGCACATCAGTTCCTCCCATATCCTTGAGACACTATTGAATTGAAAAGAAACTTCAGATTGCCTTTCCACATATTTCAGACAGAGTAGAGTCTATCACCACCAGTTGATGTCCTTATTATGAGAGCCTCAGTCATGTCCTCCCTCACTCTGTCAATAAAAACATTTATATACAATACATAGTATGTAAAATATATCATCATTGTTTGTGTTTTATGTATTTGATTATAAAAGAACTTGTAATTCTGCTGCAGGGCTATAGATGATCCACTGACACTCTTCAACAAACATTTGCGAGAAAAAGATGAGCGAGCTCGTAGGTTCCGCATGAGCAGGTCCAGATCACGGTCCAGGTAAATAAGGAGGTGTTTTGTTATTACAATTAGCATATTTTCCAATGTATAAAATGTATTTTTTTGTTTTTTCAAGAAAATTTATACAAAATATTGCAGTGCATTTAACCCTTAAGTTGCGCAACACAACCTATGATGAGTTGAGTGACTTGCTATAAATTGTGCATCACATCATATGATGTATTGGAGTACTATGCAAGATTTAAACGGCCCGCGGATACATGGGGTTCACCTCACTTTCATCAGGGCTCTTGTAAACAGAAGCCATTTAAAAAAAATCGTGGGCCAAATTCCCGGGTATGAGAGCCTCAGTATTGAGTGAGCCACCAAGCCTGATGCATGCAGCATGAGCTCACAGCACTGCTGTTCAGCTTGTGACCACAGCATCACCTAAAAATCCCATAATATATATGTTCATGCTATTATTTAGCAATGATATTATTACAGAAGACCCCTGACTGTGATAAAAATGACCAGAATTCTGATAATAGCAGGATTGGTGTGAAATGGCAGGATTGATTCTGATAATAGCAGGATTGTTGTGATAATTAGCACTGTAGTGGGAGGAGTAATCTTGGTGGGGAGGGAGGTAGCATTGTCTGCTGACTCTGTGTGACTACCTTTTACTGTCTGGACTCACTATACCAGCTTAGTTGTTCGCTATGGTGAACAAAACATGCAGATACTTATATATAACGTCTGTATATATAAGCAAAAACAGTATGGTGGAAGGAGAATGGTGGCGATTCATGTGAGGTATGGGAGGGTGGGAGTGGCAGCCAGTGACGATCTAACGTTTAGGGAGCATAACCAAGCAAATATTGGGTTAGCCAGAAAAATGATAGGATGGATTACGAGAACTTTCAAATCCAGGGATCCCATCACAATGGTTGTACTCTTCAAGTTACTTGTGTTGTCCCGTCTTGAGTACTGCTCAGTACTCACTTCCCCCTTCAGAGCAGGAGAGATTGCTGAAATAGAGGGAATACAGAGAACATATACGGCACGCATAGACGAGATAAAACACCTAAATTATTGGGATCGTCTCAAAGCTCTCCAAATGTACTCTCTAGAAAGGAGACGAGAGAGATACCAAATAATATACACGTGGAAAATACTGGAGGGCCATGTACCAAATCTACACAGTAAAATAACAATGTACTGGAGTGAACGATATGGAAGAAAATGCAGGATTGAACCAGTGAAGAGCAGAGGTGCCATAGGCACAATCAAAGAACGCTCTATAAACATCAGAGGTCCACGGTTGTTCAACGTCCTACCAGCGAGCATCAGAAATATTACAGGAACAACCGTGGACATCTTCAAGAGGAAACTAGATTGTTTCCTTCAAGGAGTGCCGGACCAACTGGGCTGTGGTGGGTATGTGGGCCTGCGGGCCGCTCCAAGCAACAGCCTGGTGGACCAAACTCTCACACGTCGAGCCTGGCCTCTGGCTGGGCTTGGGGAGTAGAAGAACTTCCAGAACCCCATCAAGCAGGTAAATGGCGGGCTGCCACTAGCTACCACTGCCACTGCCACTCAGCATACCAACTCAGTGGTTCGTTATGGTGAACACGAATGTAGATACTTATATATAACGTCTGCATATAGTGAATAAAAGCAAAAACAGTATGGTGGGAGGAGAATGTGGGCGAGTGAGGTGTTGAGGGAGTGAGTGGCAGCGAGTGGCTGGCTGGTGTGTGGCGGTCACTCCTCGTTGCTTTTTGACTCATAATGCCAACTTAGTGGTTTGTTATAGTGAACAAAACATGCAGATACTTACATATAACCTATGTATGTAGTGTAATAAGCGACAAAGTATTTGTTCACTGTTGGATGAACATAATAATTGAATCAACAATATGCACACCATATTTTTGAGTACAGCGATGATTCACTCATTTTATTATATAAATATATCACACTACACATTATTGAATAATATTACAGCAAAAAAACTATGAAAAAACAATCAGAGACATTGAAATAATTGGATAATTATATCTTTGTGGCCACTCCTGCCTGACAGCTGGCGAGCAGCAGACCGCCTGGGACGCACTCCGAGTCAGCGCCTGTTTTTTGCCAGACTTCCCCACCCTATAGCGGGCAATATATGCCACTTATGATTTTTTTATTATTTTTCCCATGATCAGAGAACACAAATTAACAGGTTTAGAAGAATTTTTGGTATGTGCCTGCAGGTGACAAATGCTAATTAGCCCTGAGCAACACAAGGGTTAATGTGTTCGGATGAAAGCCAGTGTGATGGGTGCAAGCACCTGGCTAATATTATAAACATACTAAAATCATTTATATGATATCATGAGAAAGCTTCCTTATATTAAGTTGAAATTGACAACACATTCATAATGATTAAACTAAGACTCCTTTCATTATTAGTCAGTGTACAACAATGTGGGTAATAAACTAAGACTCCTGTCATTATTAGTCAGTGTACAATAATGTGGGTAATAAACTAAGACTCCTTTCATTATTAGTCTGTGTACAACAATGTGGGTAATAAACTAAGACTCCTGTCATTATTAGTCAGTGTACAATAATGTGGGTAATAAACTAAGACTCCTGTCATTATTAGTCAGTGTACAATAATGTGGGTAATAAACTAAGACTCCTGTCATTATTAGTCAGTGTACAACAATGTGGGTAATAAAATTTCATTCACTTGGATACCAACTAGGTTTCACTGGGATCCTTCCTTATTGAGTCGTCCATAGTGTAGTCAGTAGAGCTATGGGCTCGTGCTTTTGTGGCCCCCAGTTTGAGGCTCCGACGATCTTAGTGAATTAATATATTGACAAAGAAAGATAAACATACTGATTTTAAAAATGGTAGTCAATCATTTGTGAATGGCAAGGTCTAAGGTCTGAGCACTTTCAAGCACAGGTTATGTACCCATCGTCAGAGACAGTGTTAGAATGAGGGAATAACAGAGAAGTGGTCACCATCTTATGTTGACAGCATGAGAATAGAATTAGGAGGAGATGCAGAGTACTCAATATACTCATTATTCACCTGTTTACTCATGTTCTATACTCATTATACCTCTAAATTCATTGTGCTCTTAGAATTCACTATATGTTCAGAACTTATTAGGCTCACTGAACGCCTTAACTTCTTAACTCGGTGCACTTGCCAAACGCACTATACTTGTATTGATATTAGAGGTATAATTATGTTATATTTTGTTATTCCCTAGTGAAGGTTTATGGTACCACAGTATACAAGATATGCTAGATTATTGTTTCTTCTTCGTGATGTAAATAACATGTTAAGGATTTTGGAAATGTAATGTTTCAGATGTTTTTTCTAATTTTACATTGCACTTAATGAAAAGGAATTAGATTGCTATGATTGCTTTTTATTTGTTCAGGTCTCCTCCACATCGTTACCATTCTAGATTAAGGTCACGGTCGCCTCGTCGATCTTGGTCTCGTTCCCGTTCCCGCTCTCGATCCAGAAGTAGGGTAATTGGCTCTGGGCCTAGGTCACCTCGCTCACCAGCAAGACATCGTTGGAGTCGTACGCCACCCAGAGCAATGGGGTCTTATCGGTCACAACGATCGCCTTCATATACTAGAGAACGTTCCGTGTCAAATCATTCATTATCTCTAAGCAGGTATGTTGAGCATAATAAAAAAATTATTTACATGGCTACAGATAATATGTATGAAGTTTTGAATTGTCTTTATAGAAAATAAGTATCTCTTAGAAATTTTTCTTTTCTTTTCTGCAATTTATTTTTTGATGATGAGTTGAGAACACGTGGGTAGAGTTGCTTTAGGTTGAAAACATATGTATGTTGGCATGAAATGGTGCTCCCTTTAGTGGCCATCCTAGTTACTGCTTTGGGAACTAATTTTGTCCAGCATTACATGTTTTCCTACACTATCTTAATAGCAAATTAGCTGTTCTGTTTCAAATAATTTGTTTTCATTAGTAACCTGGAAGTTTGCTAACTAGGGCACTCTGTTATCCAAAAAGATACATAGTACTTATAGCAACTATTGGTCAAACATACAAAATGGGACTGTAATACTCCCCCCAAAAATTGTAGTATTCATTTTGTAGATGGCACAAAAAAAAAAAAAGGTAGCAACCATGGTATCAAACCAAAAGTAAACTTTCCTCAGCCTATAATGCCATATATATATATATATATATATATATATAATATATATATATATATATATATATATATATATATATATATATATATATATATATATATATATAATATATATGTCGTACCTAGTAGCCAGAACTCACTTTTGGCCTACTATTCAAGGCCCGATTTGCCTAATAAGCCCAAGTTTTCCTGAATTTATATATTTTTTCTAATTTTTTTCTTATGAAATGATAAAGCTACCCATTTCATTATGTATGAGGTCAATTTTTTTTTATTGAAGTTAAAATTAACGTAGATATATGACCGAACCTAACCAACCCTACCTAACCTAACCTAACCTATCTTTATAGGTTAGGTTTGGTTAGGTAGCCGAAAAGTTAGGTTAGGTTAGGTTAGGTAGGTTAGGTAGTCGAAAAACAATTAATTCATGAAAACTTGGCTTATTCGGCAAATCGGGCCTTGCATAGTAGGCTGAGAAGTGCGTCTGGCTACTAGGTACGACATATATATATATATATATATATATATATATATATAATATATTATATATATATATAATATATATATATATTATATATATATATAATATATATCTATATATATATATATATATATAGTATATATTGGTAGCAGTCTTTCCTGTAGACATATATTATTAAATATGACCGAAAAAGTAAGATTAACTACACAACTGATTCTAATCAGTTGTGTATTTGTGAAGTCTTTGAAAATGTAATAAGTTTTACGAAACGCGCCCGTGTCGCGTCAGACTAGAAATAAAAAATGAATTTTGGAGAAGTGATTTTTGATTTACCTCCAACAGTGAAGCGTAATGTACGAAAGATTGAGAAATTCGTGTTAGAATTATTAATCTTACTTTTTCGGTCATATTTAATAATATATATATACAGGATATATATATACAAAAATCTATATATATATATATATATATATATATATATATAATATATATATATATTATATATTATATATATATATATATATTATATATTATATATATATATATATATATATATATATATATATATATATATATATATATATATATATATATATATATATATATATATATAGATATATATATATATATATATATATATATATATATATATATATATATATAATATATATATAATATATATATATATATAATATATATATATATATATATATATATATATATATATATTATATATATATATATATATATAATATATATATATATATATAATGATATATATATATATATATATATATATATATATATATATATATATATATATATATATCTATATATATATATATATATATATATATATATATATATATATATATATATATATATAATATATATATATATATATATATATATATATATATATATATATTATATATATATATATATATATATATATATATCTTATTATATAATATATATATTATATATATATACTATATATATATATAATATATATATATTATATCTATATATATATATATATATATATATATATATATATATATATATATATATATATGACAATGTCAGACCACGAAGGAAAAATGAAGTGCGAGTCTTCAATAGCGCACTAGTGCGTCTTCAATAACAAATTGTAAAGCCCTATAACAGAAACATAATGAATCCGCTTTGATACAGATCACCAAAGAAAGTAATTTGAATATAGCAGTGGTCTATATACTTAGTCTTAATACTTATCATTAAGTCTAGTGCATGATATGTATTATGCTTGTATGTCTGCTATATCAGCTAGGCTACATTATTGGGTGCATCTGACAGATATTGTTCACCTATCACCACTCTCTCCTGTTCTGTAAAACCATGTTTTTTGGAGGATGGGTTAAAATGTGCTCCTAAAAATATTTGTTGCTTCATTGTTGCTATACGATGGGATGGTGCTCCTAAAACTTTTTTTCAATTTTAGAAACATGGAATGTGATGGAAAGATGTGTTGTGTAAAAAGTTGTGAGTTGTAAGGTTGAAGAAAGTGTTTTGAGATGTTTTGATCACATTTGAATAAATGGATGATGATAAGAGTGGTTAAAAGAGCATATTCGAGTGAAGTTGAAACACTAGAGGAAGTCCGGGAGAAAGCGAGTCTTTAGCATGAACAGTGAACAAGAAATTGTTGGGAATCAAATTTGGTAAAGCAAATTATTTACAGATTTTAAATGTCTACTCATAATAAGCACTTTACATTTAGTTATATGAAATGAGAATATTGTTGAATATATTATGCTTCATGCGTTCCTATCATATATGTAGCAAGTTCACACGTTTTTTAAGTTCTCTAATCTCTTTCCTCATAATGCCATCCATATTGACATTGAACGTGTACGGGAACATTTTAGAGCCTTGGCATTGTGGTAGGTGTAAAGAGGTAACTGTGAGTTGAGTAGCTGTTATGGGTTGTATCCTGGGGGAAGGTTGGTCAGGAGAGATGTCTCAGCAAGTCTAAGTACACCCTTCCTCTTCCTCTATAATGGGAATTCTGAGTTATTTATGTAAAAATCAGTAACACATTATACTGACTTTGTAACTAGTTCATCAAGACTGTAACTTGCTTACCTGAATGAATTGTGGGGTTCAGTCCCTGAGCCCACTATGTGCCTCTCACTTTCCACTACTAAATTAAAATAAATGAATAATAAATGAACTTAACTAACAATATACTGTACTTGAATACTATTATGTGCTCCTCTTCCCACATGAAACACGCTCAACTTACAATAGTTCACTACTTGTATGCATGCTCAGTTCTCTCCACAGTTCTCTCTTAATTTTGATACACTTTCTGAAGATTGATTAAGGCCATATATACACCGTAGTCTTCCTTTGATGCCTTTTCCACTAGCTTCTTCAATACGCAGCCCATCATCCAAAAATCTTAATACATGTACTTGTAACAATGGTTGGGTTGAACACATGAAATGTACTGTTTTACCCAAAACTTTTCACTTTTTGTATTATCAGAATACTCCAAATGACATTCTAAATGTGGATTTAAATGTGGTTACATTCTAAATGTAACTATAGAACTTAACCTGTCCTAGGCTTAAATAAGCAATCATAGGCCTAATATATGGCATCTCAGGCCTTAATACATATCTGTGCTATACAAGGCCTAGGAAAGTTTAGGTGTGGATGTTGCCTTCTATCGTGTGTTCTTTACAAAATTAACAGTACAAAGTATGACCTTTTTGCGGGAAGGGAGGGTGGGGGGGGGGGGGAGAGGAACAAAAGTCCATTTTTGTACATTTGATTAACAGCTGCAATAAGTACTATTTTCAAATGACAGGTTGCCGGATTGGATTCATAGAAACTGTTCATCCATAAAATCCACATTTTTCATGATGGACCAGTTTCCTTTCCATTTTGTGTTTTCTTTCAATTGCACTCCAGTCATATGCTGTCCATATATTCAGTAAGCTGATCCCTCTTTTATTTTATATACACAACTATTATTCATAGTTGTATTCAACACTAAAACATTTCCATTCATTTAAACAAGACTTTAGTCATTATTATGGTACACCATATTATGAATGAACCTTTTCAGAACCCCCAGCCCGAGTCGACGGATCAAGTCGTCTCCCCTTCAAGTGCGACCGCCTCTTTCAGATACCCGGTCACCATTAAGGTTAGTTGTGCTTTGTATAATTACCTAAGTGTAGTTAAGAGGACGAGAGCTACATCCATGCTACTTTGTCTACAAAAGAGAGCTTTCATGTATTTTTTCATCTTTGTTTAGTATTATATGTGCTCATAGTTCTGAAAGGGCTGCACTTATAACATGAGTTTAGTCTTTGGTTCATGTAAGATTGCTTGATTAACATTCTTTTGGTAAATGCTGCAATTATTAGTTGTTTCGCTTACCTCATATTTTGTATGTATGGGGAGAGTTCTAGCTCTAAAGCCCACCCTAATAGCTGTTGTACCATGGATATTTTTATACGTCCCAAACATTCTAATACCTGATCGTACTTGCTATTGAGGCTGTCAATTGATAATGCTTTTACTATTTCTGCCTTAAGTGTCTTAGGCTATATTTTTTTACCATCAGTGCATGTATTTTCTTCAATTACTCCAGCTAATTTATGTTTCAAACATCTAACTATGGTTCAATTTGATACATATCACATTTTACTGTCACTTATTGAGACTGTTGCTCTCCGCTCTGAATCTTGCACATAGTGATAATTTTGTTTTCCCATTGGATAGATGTATTATTATAACATTAGGTTTAAGCTTAATGTCATGGTTTATACAATAATATGTAATGTAATGGTAATAAGGAAGCTGTGTTTTAAAATTACTTTCAATAGATATATGATGAAACATACTAAAAAAGTCCACAAAATATCTTTGTATTCAGAGTGCATTTTATATTTGGAAGATACGGTACATATATTGCATCTAGTCATTCTTCTAGCATTGATAGAGTGAGTGTTCTTGGCCTGTTGTTATAGCTCAACACCATATATCTTTGGTGCTAGTCTCAGCATATCTTTGGATTTAATAAAAAAAAATCTTGTGTCGTTATGCTAGTGTCGTTAACAAAACATGGTAAAAAAAGGAATCAAAGATGGTAGTGAATTTTCCTGGGGAGTCTAGGGATGTGGGTTCAATCCTATTGTATGGCCTCAATATTTTCAGCTGAAGGGTTTCCAAAAATATCACTACTTAATGAATCATGATTGTTACACTACTTGAAGTTTCAGAAGTAAACCCTAGTACCTTAAGAATACACAGTGCATTAATTGATAAGGATGGTTGTGCACCCCACTGAGTGCTACTCACAGTGGGATGGATGGATCACATCCACATGTGCCTTCCAGTGAGTGTTACTCACAATTGAGAGAACAGCAACTCTCAGTTGCTCTGGTGGTGGATTGAAATAACTCATTGAAGTTATCTCTACAGTCTCCTCTCATAGAAGCTTATACAGTACTGATCACCTTGCAGTATAATGCAATAAAATAACACGGCCTGATGCATAGGAAGGGGTCATGCCCACTGGACAAAAGTGCTATTGAACTCAACTGCACAAAATATCACATTAACACTATACAGTACAGAAGTTAACTTAATAACAGTGTATCGTTTTTATTATTTTCTAGAATAATAAGTTTTTCGTCCGAGTATGTTAACACATTCCTTCTAGCCAGTCCCCAAGCTGTCCTTCATCTACTTCTCTGTTTTCATTCTGGACTAATGAATGACTTACATGGACCTGATTTGTAGCATATCATCCAGAGATCCGTAAAAATCAGTCTGCTTCACTGGACTCCCTCTGTATTATACAAATGTAGGAGCAATGAAAGTAAAATAAATGAATTAAAAGCATTTACAATATAGCATTAAGCTAATTTTTAAAACAGAACAGTGCCAGAATATACATGCATGCATGTACCTGCAAGGTAACTTGTAACACAGAAGAATGAAACTGTAAAGTTTCAAGCATATAGGTTAAGACATGTTTGAGTATGAGAGTAGGATAAACACTGCTTCACATGGTCCAGTAGGCATTCTGTAAATTACTTTATTCTAATTATAATATTAATAATGCAATAATAATAATAGAAATAACAATAAAAAGCCTAATTATATTTCACAAAATACAATACAGTACTGTATATAAATATAAAATACAAGTTGACATTTTCTGTTGACCAATCCACACACTAGAAAATGAAGGGACGACGACGTTTCAATCCGTCCTGGACCATTCTCAAGTTGATTGTGTGGATTGGTCAACATACTTCAGCCACGTTATTGTGACTCATCGCCTTGACATTTTCTGATTGGTTTTGTTCATTCCAGGACAACAGTAGATTTTGGAGCACCAAGAGAGTATGAGAGATATGGAGTTAACCATATGAACCCTGAAGAATATCAGCCGTTTATTATGGGTGCTACTCATTGGGATCCACCTGCAAGGTAAGTCACCACCTAATATGTTGCATTTTTAACAGAATCAACCTATTAAAAATGTTAGTACTAATAAAAGCGTCGTAATATTGACATTTTCTATGCATCAGCCTTGATATGTTGGGTGGGTTGCTTGGGCTCCATGTTTCTAGTTAGGCAAAACAACAGTTGTGCAGGATCTATAATGGAGTGGCAAATTGAGAAAATGCCCTCTTACCTAATAGACCTCATTTTTAATGGAATCCACCAATTCATTATAAATGTAACCTATTTGTCAAAATTAAAGCACATAAATTTTTACATTTTCAATGCATTGGTTCTAATTGGTTGGGTGGGTTGCTTAGGTTTTCACATTCCTGGTTAGTTTGGATCATGCACATTTTAGCTGGAGTGGCAAATCGAGAGTACAGACTAGGGGTAAATCGTATTAATTCCAATTCAAATGTTTATCTAATGTGTGATTACTGTTAACTAAGAATATTTATTATCTCTTTCTAGGTATGATCTTCCTGGCCATGACAACTTTAGAACTGACTTCCAAGAGCCCAGAGGACGTGGTAATAGAGGACGCCGTGGTAGAGACCGTGGAGGTTTCCGGCAGGGCGAAGAGTTTCGTTTTGATCAGCATATGCAAGAGCCAAGGCATCCTTTTGAGAGACCCCAGCCGCCGCGTGATGATCGGAGAGGGCTGCTAGGAGTTGTCCCATGGGAAAGAGACGATAATAGGCGTCCTTATGACTTGGATATAGGAAGAAATGACAGAGTTGGAAGACTTCCCGATGGAGATAGAAGACGCTTTGGAGATTTACGAGACCCAGCTCGAGATTTTGAAGATACAAGACCAAGGAGAGATAGGGATGGTAACGATAGTATCAGAAGACATGATGATGATAGTAGCCGCAAAGGTTTTGAAGATGATGACTGGCGAAGATATTCTGATGATAATAGAAAAAGGTTAGACGATGACGATGAGAAACGTAGGCATTTTGAGGGTAGGAGAGGCCATGATTCTGAGGAAACTCACAGAATTCCTGAAGCAGACCGATATGATGATTATAAAAGATTCTCTGCTCCAAGAAAAGAGGGAGAAGTACGAAGAGATGAAAGTATCAGAAAAGAAACCGATACAAGGAGGAATCCTGAAAGCTCCCGAAAGGAGATGGAAGATGGAAGGCATGGGCGTCTCGACACAAAGAGGGTCGAAGATCGTGAGCGAGATGGCAAGTTTAAAGGTGGGTCTCGTCACCGAGAGATAACTCCACAAGACGAGGCATTTAGAAGTAAGCCAACTGATTCACCAGGAAAAGCTTATAAAAAGTCCCCAATAAGAGATAGAAGAGAGAGAGATGCAGAGAGAAGAGATAGAGATAATGATAGAAGAGAAAGAGATGGAGACAGAAAAGATAACTATAAAAGAGAGAGGGAAACTGGCGATAGAAGGGAGAGAGATAGAGACTACGACAGAAGATCTCGAGATTTAGAAAAGAGAGATCGTGATGGAGACAGAAGAGAAAAGGACATAGAGAGAAAAGATAGAGATTCCGACAGAAAAGATAGAGACTCTGATAGGAAAGAGAGAGATACTGACAGAAGAGAGAAAGATTCACAAAAGGGAGAGAAAGATCATGAGAGAAAAGATAGGCAGGAAGAACGCCTCGGTAAAGATAAGCTAGATGATAGAATGGGTAAAGATGAAAATAGGAGAGAGAGAGATGGTAGAAGAGAGAGGGATGGAGAGAGACCAGCCCGTAACTCTAGATGGGACAGAGGTGACAGACTGGAGAGAGAGAAGGAATTAGATAAAGGAAGAAGTGAGAGACACAAAGCAAGATCCCAAGAAAAGGATGACAAAGGCAGAAATCATTCAAATGATGAAAAGGAAGAAAAGAAAAAGAATAAACAGAAAGATGAGAGGTTAGACAGTCATAGCAATAAAGAGAGAGAGAGTAGTAGTAAAGATGCAGAGAGCACTAGCAAAGTTGAGAAGAAGAAGCATGATAAAAAGAAGAAGAAGAAAGAAAAACGTCGAGCTTCACAAGCATCAACTGAAGCATCTCAGGGAGAAATATCTGGGGACGAAGGAGAAGACAAGAAGAAGAAAAGGAAAAGGGATAAGAAGAAAAAGGTGAAAGGCCATGTAGATGACAATAAAGATTTGGAAGATGAGAATCAGCCATTTCAAGGGACTACAAAATTACCTGACTCAGGAGGTGAATCATATTCAGCGGTGATGCCTGAGAATCACATGTCTCCCGTTGGAGAGAAAACTTGTGATTCCGACCAGTATGGCAGAACTCTAGATGAAGAAATGGCAACAAAAGAAATTTGTACACCATTACCACTTCCACAGTTGTCAAAATGGGAGAGAGAGGATGAAGTTCCTGTGACACCTAAAGGGTTAATTGAAAAGAAAGCGCCAGAAGAGGAAAGAAAGGTCACTGTTGATATAATTAAACGAGCAGAAAATGCAATATTTTCAGGAAGAGGGCTAGTGTCTCGGAAAGTGTTCCTTGATACCCAAAAGCAAAAAGAACTTGAGGAGGAAAGAAGTCCAACTCCAGATTGGGATCGCACAGAGTTGCGCGAGGCAAAAAGGCGTGGTCCATCAATTCAGATTACTATATCCTCAAAGACGGAATCCCAGATTGGACGCCCAAGGATGGGAAGGTCTGCACCACCAAGTCCAGACAGATTAGACGAAAGGCGATCGACATTAAAATCTAAGCGGGTTTCAGAGAATGAGAGAAAATCTGATAGGCATTCAAGACCAGCTAAACGATCCCCTAGTCCTAGTGAGATGCATAGTGTAATCAAGAGTAGAAGAAAGAGTGAGAAGGAAGACAAACCTCACATTAATGAGGAGAAGAGTATCATTGCTAGTCAAACTGTCAGTTCAATTAGACATCAAAAGGGAAGGTCTCCTTTACTCGAGACCCATCCTATTCCGAGTGACGAACCAAAAGAGACTCGAGATTCAGCATTATTAGAAAATACTGCCAAAAATGTAAGTGATGTTCCTGACCAGAAGGATCTAAATCTAAATAAGCTTTTATCTGCTGGTGGGGCGTCCGAGTCCAAAATATTAAAAACAGAAGAAACAATTCCTTCACTTGAAGAGCATACAGATCAAAATATTTCTGTTGTTGTTAAAGCTGAAATGATATCAAGCGAATGTAACAGCGAGTCTATCATTACAGATGACAGATTAGAGCCAGAATTAATGGAAAAGAACGTAGCAAATGTGGAAGAAAACGATACAAAACTCATTCACGAGGAAAATATGGATGCCACTTCAGAAGCTCCACCTGTTGTCCGCAAAGAACCAGATGAACTAGAGGAGGGAGAAATTCCAACGGACACATCAAGTGAAGGCGTTCACGCCACTGAACCTGCGACCGAGGTTCCTCCTATTGAAATGGAGGAAGCTGCTGTTGCAGAAAATGAGTTGTTAATGCAAGAACAAAAGAAAATGCGTTACTCTCCAATTCGTGTTCCAACGCCCATTCCGGAAACCCAGCAGGTAAAAGAAGTCAAAGTAAAGGAGAAGAACAAGAAGCGTAAAAAGAGGAAGAGATCGTCCAGTTCAAGTTCAAGTAACAGTAGCAGTTCGTCAAGCAGCAGCAGTGAAGATGAAGAAATAATAAAGAAGAAGAAGAAAAAGAAGAAGAAGAAGAAGGCAGTAGACAGTGACTCTAGTGATGTAGAGTCAAAGAGCAAACATAAGAAGAGAAAGAAGGATAAAAAGAAAAAGAAGAAAAAGGAAAAGAAGAGGAAGAGTGAGAAGTAAATGGATGACTGTGCATAACTAATATATAAATAATGCCAAAGAGAAGACACAATTTCTTTTATAAACCTTTCTTATCGTTAGCACGTGAGAAAATAGGAACCGAGCGTGCTGTTTCGTAAGGCTGACAACTTCACAAACATTATGCTCTTATTTTGGGTCTCAAAACTTTGTGTTGTGAATAACTTGTTATATATATATATGTATTATATACCTGTAATTAACATAGAAAAAGTGTGATGATTTTGTAAATATTTGGATTGGTATTATGGTATTTTGTAAATCAGTTTAGTGTAAATAAAAACGACTCTGATAGTAACATTTTAATAGCCTTTTATTGGTTTGTAACATTAGTAGGAATTTGTGATGAGGAATAAGTAGTTGGAGAGATAATCTGCTGGTTATACAGTGTATGTGTATCATGCCTAATAGCCCCAATTTGCCCAAAAGGCTGGCAAATATTGCTTACAAAAATCAGTATTTACACCATGACTGGACACGGCAAGGGACTCTGAAAGGGTGGCGCCAAGCGGCATCATAATTTCAATTAAAATTATTATATAAAAAACATGATTTACTGATTATGTTAGGTAGGTTAGGTTCTACTATCATAACATGGTGTCAGCAAGGTGGACAGCCCGTCTGCCATCATAACATGGTGTCAGCAAGGCAGCTAGCCCGCCTGCTATCATAAAATGGTGTCAGCAAGGTGGACAGCCCACCTGCTATCATAACATGGTGTCAGCATAGCAGACAGCCTGCCTGCTATCAACATGGTGTCAGCAAGGTGGGACAGCCCACCTGCCATCATAACATGGTGTCAGCAAGGCAGACACTATGCTATCATAACTCACTATAATTCACATTTCAAACCTTTCCTTCACCTATAACTCTCCATCTTCTTTACTTAAAATAAAAAAACAGCCAATCAGAATACGACAGTGGCCTCATGGGTGTGTTGCAAACAACGCCTGAAGCCTGCAACCCCTGGCCACTGACCTGTGGCAACGTCAGCAACATTGTCAATATTGCAGTCATTGAAGAAGCAGAGAAACCTGAACTCGAGGCAACAATGGCGGAAGCGCTCGACCAGATAACAACTTGGGAGGACACCTATTTAACCTAACCAAACCAAACCCAACCCAACCCAACATTACCATACCTTACCTAATCTAACCCAACCTAACCTAACATAACCTTACCCAATCTAACCTTAGCTAACTCAACCTAATGTAACCTAACGTAACCCAACCTAACCTAACCTAACCTTACCTTACCCAACCGTGTGTATCTTTAGATTAGAATGTATTATTTAAGGTTAGGCTGTGCTGGGTTGGGTTAGGTTAGCACAGCCTAACCTTAAATAATACATTCTAACCTAAAGATACATACGGTTGTGACAATTAGGAAATTAGCTATCTCGACGCTAGCTAGTTTAAATAGAATTAGAACCTAGCTATCTGTTTCTGTCTCGTCTTGTTGAATAACCCATCACAATACCCTGACCCAGAAACTTGTCAGGTTAACAAGCATCAACAAGAGCGCCTTAATTGTTGCTACGACTCTGGCTGTAATGTGGCCAAACCTGTACATAGCACAGCGGTCTACGTCCTATACACATATTCGTAGGACTCAGTTCAATCCCTAGGTAGGACAGAAGCGGTTAGGCACGGTTCCTTTCACTTTATGTTAATATTCACTTAGCAGCAAATAGGTACGGGAATTTGGCAACTATTGTGAGGTCACAATAAGACAGGACACAGACAGAAGACCCTATAATAAGACAGGACACAGACAGAAGACCCTATAATAAGACAGGACACAGACAGAAGACCCTATAATAAGACAGGACACAGACAGAAGACCCTATACAGTACTACATACCAGTGTCCCTAACACATTCTCATAAAAATATTAAAGTTACCAGGAAAAATAATGGTGGACTAGCCAGAGAACATGCTTCATATCTTGAGGTTATCTTGAGATGATTTCGGGGCTTTTTAGTGTCCCCGCGGCCCGGTCCTCGACCAGGCCTCCACCCCCAGGAAGCAGCCCGTGACAGCTGACTAACTCCCAGGTACCTATTTACTGCTAGGTAACAGGGGCATTCAGGGTGAAAGAAACTTTGCCCATTTGTTTCTGCCTCGTGCGGGAATCGAACCCGCGCCACAGAATTACGAATCCTGCGCGCTATCCACCAGGCTACGAGGCCCCTAAGCAAACCATAGCTGTAAAACCGAGGCCCCATAGCTGTAAATCGGGCAACAAAAATCATCCCAGAGCTAAGTCAGCTCTCATATCAGGAGTGGCTGATGGCCACAGGGGCTAACAACACTATAAACCAGACATAACAGCGCGGATCTTATTGAAACCTTTAAAATACTGAACAAATTGGATGAAGTTTATCCGGAAAATTTCTTCATAGGGTCAGAAGTAACACAAACAAATAGGAACTGTTTCAAGCTCAACAATGTAGGACTGAGAACAGGTGATGCTTTTTCACCTACAGAGTGAAAACCCATGGAACCGCCTATCCGCCGAAGCCGTTAATGCTGAAACTGTTGGGTTTTAAGGTACAGCTGGAAAAGATAATCAGTGTAAGAGAGAGAGACCCTTGTGTAGGGAGAAATAGCAGTGTTAAATGTTGAAAAACAGCCTGGAACTCTGACCCCTTTCAGATGCACAGAGCATCATCTCAACAGGAAAATGTAATCTCCTAAAAACCAATGTAAACAAAAGGGATAAAATAGTTAAAAAAAAGGCAGATTCAATGCAAAAAAATAGAGAAACAACAGTGTTAAATGTAGAGAAACAGCCTGGAACATTATAAGACATAAATGAAGTATTGGGAAATGTGTATGACATATATAGGGAGGGGACATTATTGGAACCAGGCAGGCAGGGACATGTGCAAGCCCATATCAGTCACTTTCAAGTTCAAGTTCAAGTATGTTTATTGAGACAAGAAAAAAATACATCTCAAAGGAATAGAGTAGCTTAGGCTATTTCTACCCCCCTCCTTCACTTGGGAGAGGGAGGCAGTGACAACCAGACCAGTGTTGTGGATGGTCTCCAACAAATACGATAAGTGAAGTATTATAGACGTTTATAGCGGTACTTCCCCTTTTCTTTACGAGTTAGAGATAGGAATTTGTGGAAATAAGGATTTTGGAACCCTGTGTGTAGGGAGAGTGGTGTGTTGTTAATTCAGGTGTATGTGCTCAGCTGTGTGTCACATGGGGGTTATCCACATTTATTTTGTATATCCATTTGTGGATTGTGGTCAGAGTAGTGTATTTTTAAAACCCAGGCCTTTTGTAGTGACCTATGAGGAGTGGAATAGAGTAATGACCTTAAGTCCCAGGTTGTAGAGGGAGAAGGAACATCCCCCCCCCTCCCTTTTGTCTGTATCAAACCAAGTGGATCCAAGTACCCCCCCCCCCTGTTATAAGAAGTGTGAGGAAATAAAAACCTTTTTTGTAAAATTGTACCCCAAGGTGTATTTCTTGTCCCATGTAGTTAGAACTGGTGATTATTACTATATAGACCCCTGCACTTCCACTATTTATAAGAAAGTTAGGGCGGGTGTTGTTAGCGATACTTTAGGGTACGGCTTTCAATCCCGTATCTTACATCAGGGTAAATGGGGGGGAGGACCTTCGACAAACCGCCGGCTTCCTGTCCTCGCCGAGGCCACTAGTGATATAGTGGCCCTTAGGGAACTTTGCTAAATAAAATCGTTTATAATATCTGGCGCGTAGTGTTGTGAATGCGACAGTGTTATACGGCCTAGTGTTATACGCTAGGCTCCGGGGATCCGTTTCTACATACATTTTTCAATGGTGTTTATCTATTTTAGTTAGGTATTTATGCTTGATGTCCCCTTGCCCCTAAAGACTGTGTCACTGATGTCTGCACTTGAATGCCTTCCAGTTAGTTTTGTGTCATTCTAAATATATCAAAAAAAGTTTCAAAAACTGTGGGCATTCTTTCTAAGATCAGATATTATGTACCACGCCCTGCTCTGGTGACTCTCTATTACTCCCTTATCTATCCTTATCTCAACTATGGTATTTGTGCTTGGGGTTCTACTACCCAAAATCACTTACGTCCTCTAATTACCCAACACAAAGCCGCTATTAGAACAATATCCAACTCTGGCCCCAGACATCACTCGGTACCCCTACTCAAATCTCTTAATATGTTAGATATTAAGTCACTGCACATTCTCTCATGTGTATTATACATATATAAAACGCTAAACTATAATGCCAATCCTGATCTTAAAAGCTTCATAGAAGGTTGTAACAGAACCCATGAGCACCACACCAGAAATAAATACAGTTTTGATATTCCTAGAGTACGTCTTAATCAAACTAGAAATGCTCTGCAAATCAAGGGGCCCAGAATGTGGAATGACCTTCCCAACCATGTTAAAGACTGTACCTCTCTCAACCAGTTTAAGATAAAAACTAAACACTACCTAATAAATTCCCTGTAATCTACCTCACTCCTCTATTGTCAATCCATGTCTGTTATTTTCTTTTTTTTTTTCTTTTTTTTAATCAACACTGTTTGTCAACCTATTGTATTTGTGCTGCTTTTTCAGTCATGTTCCCCCTTTTTTTTTTATCTTTATTTGTATTTGTTCTCAACATCTTTTATTCTTTATGCTCAATTAGTATTAAGTTCTAGATATTAATGTTTTTTCTTGCCCGAAACGCATTGCGTAATAGTGGCTTTAGGCATTGTATGTACTAGCTCTATCTATATATCAATCCATTAATGTAACATCACTTGTATGTATATACCTTACCTGAATAAACATCTGAATCTGAATCTGAATCTATTGGGGGTCTTAGCGCTGAGGGGTTCTGGATTGGGTTCGTTGATAGTCATATTATTGGTAGGTGTTTACTTGTGCTTAATGGGTCTCCTTCTATGCGGGTGCTGGGTCAAGTGACCTCCCTAAAGCCATCAGCAGGTGGCAATGGACGGCATAAGAAAGGCAGGTGGCAAGAGACGGCATGTGAGTGGCAGGTGGCAGGGGACGGCATGTGAGTGGCAGGTGGCAGGGGACGGCATGTGAGAGGCAGGTGGCAAGAGACGGCATGTGAGTGGCAGGTGGCAGGGGACGGCATGTGAGAGGCAGGTGGCAAGGGACGGCATGAGAGAGGCAGATGGCAAAGGTGGGCGGCAAAAAAAGAACCAGCCTTGGTGGGTGTTGCTCAGCAGAGGCTGCCTGACTAGTATATATTAACTCCGCCATTCTCTTTACTCTCAGTCACTCAATCTCCTGCACTCGTTACCATTGCTCCTAACGCTCGTTTATCAAGGTATTGTTTATAACTTTAATACGTTAAATTCGCAAAATACGTTAAATTCATCTAAAAATACAATTATACTAGAAGAGGCTGCTTACATGTTTACATTGAAAAACCCAAAACTGGTGTAATGAGCGGAATGTGTTGTGGTGAAATTATGCTAGTGTTATAGAGAGCTGAAGAAGCAAATGAAAGCATGGAAACGTAAATTCACACCCGCGAAACTTTTCAGCATTAGTTTCAAGTTTTGCCGCCATTATGCATTCACAGGAGAAAGTGTATTAATGGTTTTCTCTCGCAGGAGAGTGGAATGTCCTATTAACGACAAAATTGTTGTGTAAGACAATGGAAGAGGTTTGACAGTCCCAGATACTGTCAGCTGATGGAAGAGGCTTGACAGTCCCAGATACTGTCAACTGATGGAAGAGGCTTGACAGCCCGAGACTGTCAACTGATGGAAGAGGCTTGACAGTCCCAGATACTGTCAGCTGATGGAAGAGGCTTGACAGTCCCAGAGACTGTCAACTGACGGAAGAGGCTTGACAGTCCCAGATGCTGTCAACTGATGGAAGAGGCTTGACAGTCCCAGATACTGTCAACTGATGGAAGAAGTTTGACAGACCCAGAGACTGTCAACTGATGGAAGAGGTTTGACAGTCCCAGAGACTGTCAACTGACGGAAGAGGCTTGACAGACCCAGAGACTGTCAACTGATGGAAGAGGCTTGGCAGTCCCAGAGACTGTCAACTGACGGAAGAGGCTTGACAGACCCAGAGACTGTCAACTGATGGAAGAGGCTTGGCAGTCCCAGACTATTCGAAATGAAAGTGTACCATGGCCAGGTTGATGATGAGTGTACCATGGCCAGGTTGATGATAGTGTACCATGGCCAGGTTGATGATAGTGTACCATGGCGTTGTTACTAAGTCCATCAAGGACAGGTTCACTGTTGCGTACCAAGGCCATGTTGATGATGAGTGTATCGAGGCCAAATGTTATGTTCGTATCCTATGTTGATTTATCGTTGATCCTATGTTGATTTATCGTTGATCCAATGTTGATTTATCGTTGATCCAATGTTGATTTATCGTTGATCCTATGTTGATGTATCGTTGATCCTATGTTGATTTATCGTTGATCCTATGTTGATTTATCGTTGATCCTATGTTCCCCCATTCTCTTCACCCAGATCCGTGTATTCACCATTCCCCTTCTCTTCAAGCAGGCGCTGGTAGTCCTCACTGACCTTTTGTCTTCATAAGCCCTTCTCCGCGCGGCCTTCTCAATTGCGTAAGTGAAAGGAAGGTGTTTTTCTGTGTCCACTCTGGGTAGACTTTTCGTACTTTACACACACACACACACACACACACATATATATATATATATATATATATATATATATATATATATATATATATATATATATATATTATTAATGGGTTCGAGATCGGCCAAAAGTACAGTTTCTAAATAAAGCAACTGACATAAATGGAGAGCTAGTGTTATAATCGATATGTTTGTCCTGCACACCGCTCCCCATCCTGTGGGCAGCGGTGGATAGGTTACAGTCAATTAGTTACTACCTACAGCAAACTGGGGATATTTGGCTAAAATTTCTGGCAGTAGATCATATTGAATGAAATATTTACGCATCTCTTGAACATTTGTTATATAATTGTCTCTGAATTCACGTATCTTTTCGCACTCCATCACATAGTGACGGAGGGTGTGCGAATAATTTTGTTGACAGTTTACATTTGGTCAGGTCTACATCAACAGATGTAGTCTGCTGATTTCAAGCACTTGACGAGTCAAGTGCTACATTCTTGACTGGAAATTGTATTGCTGTAAAAGTCGGCTGATTTTATTGGATGAAGCATAGATGTGTGGCTCCTCTTGCATGATAGTATGATGATAGATGGAATTACTGGTGTCGATTTCACTTTGCCTCAGATCTACAAGATTTTGTTGAAGTTCTTGGTGTACTGCTGCTCTCAGAATAGAGTAGAGCAGCAGTATTGCTCTATTATAAGAGAGCTTATTGCAATAAGCTTATAATTGAGATTATTATAATTATAATAAGTATTATACAATTATAAGCAATATTGCTTATAATTGAGAGCAATAAGAGAGCTTATTGCTCTCAGAGCAATAAGCTCTCAGACGGCTTATTGACAATCCAAGGTGATTGGATGAAGATTGGATTGGGTGTCAACAGCGGTGAAACAAGAATTCTCTAATATAAGTAAGGTTCACTTAAAGTTTGCAGTCTTCTTGAAGAGAAGGGAGGGGATAATTGTCTTTGGAAACTAGGTTACATTATAATAATTAATTGTGTCGGGGGACAGGAAGCCAGAGTGTATTCATACAATGAACAAATCCACAAGGGCAGTGATGAGGGTTCGAACCTATGTCCGGGATGATCCCAGATGCACCTTAGTCGAATGTGTCACGACATGGTCAAACGAATTGCATCCGGGAGTGCTACCGTCCTCACACGGATCCCGCAGCCTCTCAAAGACCAGCCCATCCTCCGAATAGACAGTACGTTTAAATACTAAATGTAATAAGTACAATCCTGACTATCGGCATAGTACATAAATACACTTAGTATTAAGTTCAAGATATTAATGTTTTTCCTGCCCGAAACGCATTGCGTAATAGTGGCTTTAGGCATTGTATGTACTAGCACTATCTATATATTGATCCATTAATGTAACATCACTTGTATGTATGTACCTTACCTGAATAAACATATTTATTTATTTATATATATATTACTTAATTGCCAGCATCACACCAAAATATTGTGAATATTAGAGTTTACCTGAAAAGCTGTATAGAAAACCACGACCTAAGCTAACCTTGGGAGTGTAGGATAAGCACGTAAATAACATTTATTGCTTCTTAATTACAATTAGTACTTAACCTATAGCTATATTGATATTACAGTTTTATAAAACTAATAAAACAAAACTAAAATCTTTCAATAAATTATAAAGTAACTCAGGATATTTTCAAATTTTGTATAAAATCTCTTATTGTTTAATAAAACTGAAAAAGAAGTTATTTATATTTAAAACTTGTGTATCAAATTTATCACGTAAACTTCAATCAAAAAATTTTGAGTGTCTTAACAGAAATTTGAGGAGAATATATGGAGAGGTAAATATAACAGCACAATTAAGTGTATTTATGTATTATGCAGACAGTCAGGAATGTACTTATTACATTTAGTATTAAAACGTACTGTCTATTCGGAGGATGGGTTGTAGCAACATAAACCAGGGTTTTACACAATTCCCCCATGCACCGGGCTCTGTCCACCAGGTGTTCTACCTCTTCGCCCTTCAATACACACGGGGGAATTATGTAAAACCCCGGTTTGTGTCTCGGAGAGGCAGCTGGATCCGTGTGAGGGCAGTAGGGCCTGGTTGCAATTTTTTTGACCATGTCGTGACGCAGTCGACTAAGGCTCGTCTGGTATCATCCTCATCACGGCCCTTGTGGATTTGTTCAGTTCATGTATCACGCTGTTGTGATCTCTGTGTGTATTTATACACGTTAGGCTTATATCGAAGTCCCCCTCCCAAGGTTGAATTACTGACCCCGCTACCCCCCAGGATGCAACCCACAACAAGCTGACTAACTCCCGGGTACCTACTTGCTGCTAGGTGAACAGGTACATTAGATGAAGAGAAATGTGCTCAACCATTTATCCCGAGAACGAATCCGACTGTATTACCGAGACCCCTTATGGCTAGAATTAAAGTCTGTTTTCATTAACAGCCTTAATATCTAATTAGTAATGATAGTATTATGAATATCTTTTATCTCATGGCCTCGGGGACAGGAAACCGGCAGCTTGCCAAAGGTGACCCCCCCCCCATTTGCCATTTGTCCTGATTTTATGGAGCTGGATTTTAAAATTCAGAAATATTTTGACATTTACGGCTTCGGCGGGTAGGCGGTTCCACGGGCTTATACCCATATGGGTGATAAAGCATCTCTAGTTTCCACTCGTACATTGTGGCTTGTTGAGCCTCGTACTGTTGCTCCTCGTGCTACAACTGACCTTTAGAAAAAGTGGTCTGCATAAATATTCTTCAATTTGTTCAGTATTTTAAAAGTTTCGATAAGATCAGCCCTGTGAACTGGTTGGTGGTGTTGGTAGCCCTGCGGCCCTCAACCGCTCTGTCTGAGAGTAGATTCTGGATTTATTTTTATCGCTTGGTGTTATCGCCTGGTGTTATCGCGTGATGTTATCGCCTGGTCTCCATACATGGATACAATACACCAACTGGGGCGCACCAGAGATTTGTAGTCACATAACTTTTTTTTTTTTAAGTTAAAGTTTCGATTGATTAGTCCTTGTCTTGCTTTTTTTACTGCAGCTCCCACTTGTGCAACTTGCAGCGATTGGTGGATTCTTCGTCAGACTGTTGCTAGCTAATATTCATTTGGTAGTTGTGATGTTCATTGTGATGCCCCACATGAAAGGTATTGTATTTTTTTATTTGAACGTAAGTTATTATCATAAGGCACCAAGTCTGGGAGACTAGTAGACATTTGCCAGTCATCCAGCCACTTGTGGAGTTCATGTAGATCTCTGGGTAAGGCCTTATTATCACTGCCACTTCCTACTTTACCGTAAGTCTTAGTGTCATCTGCAAATTGGACTGGTTTGAAATATTCTCATCTGTGTTACTGATATATGACAAAAAAGGTTTGGCCCCCAAATAAACCCTTGTGGTGCCCCACTCACCACATTTGTCCAGTCAGATTTATTTCCGGGTGACCTATCAGGATCACCCTTTAACCCACACAGTACTGTGACCACCTCACCAATGATAGCCTATCATTGATGATCACCACTGATACAACTAATATAGCTGGTCACAATATTGCTCTAAGTATTGCGTGTTGCATCATGGCTATTCAGCTTGGTGACGAGTGTGTTGTCCTCCCTCAGGAGAGAAGATGATGCTGGCAGCAGTTGTGTTGGTGGTGGTGATGGTGGGTGAGGGCGTGGCGGCGCCACAGGCAGCCACCGGCAGACAAACCCTGGAGAATGCCTTCAATGATCGCGCCACAGTTGAGGCTATCATCCAATGTTTCCTTGGGGATAGAAAATGCAATCCACAGGAGGAGAAGATCAAAGGTGAGTATATTCTTTCTCCTACACCCTCCTCTCTCTCTCACCTCTCCCTCCCTCACCCTCTCTCTCCCTCTTCCCTCCTTCTCCTTCTCCTTCCTAACATCAAGCCAAAGTTCAATCTGGCTTATAGTATATTCTCATTTCGTACACTATAAGCTGAAGCTTGTCTCAGAAGCCAAGTTTTAGTCGTCAGAGATGTTCCTGGGCGAATTAGAAGCTTTCTCTACTGTCTAGTAGAACAAGCAAAAGTTAAAGTTGTTTAACATATAAACCTCTGGATGTACTTAGATTGGTTAAATTATATTTCGACTAGGTAAAATAGGGCTGATTAGTTTTTTTTGCTTTAGGTTAAGTTAGATTTTGATTAGGTGCTAACTAGAGTGGTTTTTATTTTTGACGAATACCTCCGTCACGTCGCAAATTACAGCTTGTTGACTTATAACATTTTGTTATTTAATTTAGAGAAATAACGCGTCTCAGCATAAATACATTGTTGGCTTTAGTAGGTATTACTGAAGGCAGCTAATTATGTATATTTAGTGGTGTGTGGAGCTCCTCCACCCCCCCTCCCCCCGTCCCCCCAAAACTCACGTGTTGAGAAAGAGATAGAATGACTATATTGAACGTGCTGTGGTGTAAGCTGTGGTGTAAGCTGTGGTGTAAGCTGTGGTGTAAGCTGTGGTGTAAGCTGTGGTGTAAGCTGTGGTGTAGGCTGTGGTGTAAGTTGTGGTGTAAGCTGTGGTGTAAGTTGTGGTGTAAGTTGTGGTGTAGGCTGTGGTGTAAGTTGTGGTGTAAGCTGTGGTGTAGGCTGTGGTGTAAGTTGTGGTGTAAGCTGTGGTGTAAGTTGTGGTGTAAGCTGTGGTGTAAGCTGTGGTGTAAGCTGTGGTGTAAGCTGTGGTGTAAGCTGTGGTGTAAGCTGTGGTGTAAGTTGTGGTGTAAGCTGTGGTGTAAGCTGTGGTGTAAGCTGTGGTGTAAGTTGTGGTGTAGGCTGTGGTGTAAGCTGTGGTGTAAGTTGTGGTGTAGGCTGTGGTGTAAGCTGTGGTGTAAGTTGTGGTGTAGGCTGTGGTGTAAGCTGTGGTGTAAGTTGTGGTGTAAGCTGTGGTGTAGGCTGTGGTGTAAGCTGTGGTGTAAGTTGTGGTGTAGGCTGTGGTGTAAGCTGTGGTGTAGGCTGTGGTGTAAGCTGTGGTGTAAGCTGTGGTGTAGGCTGTGGTGTAAGCTGTGGTGTAAGTTGTGGTGTAAGCTGTGGTGTAGGCTGTGGTGTAAGCTGTGGTGTAAGTTGTGGTGTAAGCTGTGGTGTAGGCTGTGGTGTAAGCTGTGGTGTAAGTTGTGGTGTAAGCTGTGGTGTAAGCTGTGGTGTAAGCTGTGGTGTAGGCTGTGGTGTAAGCTGTGGTGTAAGCTGTGGTGTAAGCTGTGGTGTAGGCTGTGGTGTAAGCTGTGGTGTAAGCTGTGGTGTAAGCTGTGGTGTAAGCTGTGGTGTAAGCTGTGGTGTAAGCTGTGGTGTAAGCTGTGGTGTAGGCTGTGGTGTAAGCTGTGGTGTAAGTTGTGGTGTAAGTTGTGGTGTAAGCTGTGGTGTAAGTTGTGGTGTAAGTTGTGGTGTAAGCTGTGGTGTAAGCTGTGGTGTAAGCTGTGGTGTAAGTTGTGGTGTAAGTTGTGGTGTAAGCTGTGGTGTAAGTTGTGGTGTAAGCTGTGGTGTAAGCTGTGGTGTAAGCTGTGGTGTAAGTTGTGGTGTAAGTTGTGGTGTAAGTTGTGGTGTAAGCTGTGGTGTAGGCTGTGGTGTAAGCTGTGGTGTAATCTGTGGTGTAAGCTGTGGTGTAGGTTGTGGTGTAAGCTGTGGTGTAAGCTGTGGTGTAAGTTGTGGTATAAGTTGTGGTGTAAGCTGTGGTGTAAGCTGTGGTGTAAGTTGTGGTGTAAGCTGTGGTGTAAGCTGTGGTGTAAGCTGTGGTGTAAGTTGTGGTGTAAGCTGTGGTGTAAGCTGTGGTGTAAGCTGTGGTGTAAGTTGTGGTGTAAGTTGTGGTGTAAGCTGTGGTGTAAGTTGTGGTGTAAGCTGTGGTGTAAGCTGTGGTGTAAGTTGTGGTGTAAGTTGTGGTGTAAGTTGTGGTATAAGTTGTGGTGTAAGCTGTGGTGTAAGCTGTGGTGTAAGTTGTGGTGTAAGCTGTGGTGTAAGCTGTGGTGTAAGCTGTGGTGTAAGTTGTGGTGTAAGCTGTGGTGTAAGCTGTGGTGTAAGCTGTGGTGTAAGTTGTGGTGTAAGTTGTGGTGTAAGCTGTGGTGTAAGTTGTGGTGTAAGCTGTGGTGTAAGCTGTGGTGTAAGTTGTGGTGTAAGTTGTGGTGTAAGTTGTGGTGTAAGCTGTGGTGTAAGCTGTGGTGTAAGTTGCGGTGTAAGTTGTGGTGTAAGTTGTGGTGTAAGTTGTGGTGTAAGCTGTGGTGTAAGCTGTGGTGTAAGCTGTGGTGTAAGCTGTGGTGTAAGTTGTGGTGTAAGTTGTGGTGTAAGCTGTGGTGTAAGCTGTGGTGTAAGTTGTGGTGTAAGCTGGACACTCAGACGAGCCACGGGGATGAGAAACACGGGATAAAGACAGTAAACACGGGGGGAACGAACCCGGGAAGAAGTAGTAGCGGTTACCTTCATGTTGAACTTTAAAAGCAGACATGACAAGAAAAACAAGATGTTGGGTTATATTACATTTACGATCAGTAGTTAAGTCTGTAAGTCTGTGCGCTCCGACATAGACTATGCCGCACCAGTTCTGTGCACCTACTCCCAAAGCTATATGAAAAGGCTCGAAAGCATATAAATGAAGCCATGACAATCATTCTTGGAGTCCCAAGAACTGCCAAAACGTCTAATCTACGAGAGGAGTTCTCTCTGTGGGAACCGACCTGTGAGATTTATATTTATTTAATTTATATGAATTTATATTTACGTTAATTTATATACTTCGATAGCAATTTGTATAATGATAAGTGGACTGTATTTCTGCAATAATCTCTTAATCTCACAAATCGATCCTCTACACATTAGGGGGGGTTTATATTACACATATGCAGCCAATCAAATTACAGTAATAGCTACATACATTGATGAGGTTCCTTCTCTTATAGTACAGCAGGTTAGTCCACCAGGTATAACTAGAGTGTAGACACCAAATTATCCTCTTTGAGGTAGCTTCTATCACCCAGTAACTGGTGCACATAATCTTGCATCCTCGTCTTGACCTGTCAAAAGTGTGCTAGCTGTGAAGCCAGAATCCTATATATGACAAGCTATATCAGAGAAAACACTATACAGTACATGGAACATTAAAGACCTGGCTTAATTACCTTTAGTATGAGGCGATTTCGCGTTCTAACCGGCTAACCCTATATCCTGACATTAATGGCCACTAATGATAAATAATGGGTTTCGGAAAGAACACTTAACTTGATTTGTTGACAGCGTGTTGACAGATGGTACACCTTTGGTATCCATAACACTACGTCCAAGTAAAATTAACAGGAGCCGAATTTGCTCCCGTGTGAGCCTCTGGTCTCGTATAACAATGGCTGCCCTCCTTCCCCACTCTGACGCCTGGCCTACTTTGTCCAGATTTCAGAAAGTGATAGAAGGGTCACATTTACTCTACTTTAATATTGATAATTAAGTTAATTTATATAAGATGTTTTTATGATGGTAAAGTCTAAAGACTAATGTATTTAAGAATAATTCCCAGCAAAATAGCTGGTGAATTATAATAGTATGTGGTGATGATATCCCGTTTTCTTTAGACGGTAATTCCACTACAAGTTACGTTTTCTATGGGTAACTTGTTGGTAATACAGCAGAAATTATTATCTGTCTTGTATGATATATTAAATGGTGTCGGATTTTCCGACATAATTCCCCAGGGGGCTGCTCACGGGTCGAAGTCCTCTTTAGAACAGACGAACACCGATACTCCTCCTTCGAATTATAGATTAATTTGATGTTAGTAGTTAGTAATCACACATTTGTGCGTCTGTTCGTACAGGACGGATGTCCCGTACTAGAGTTGTAGGGGTTAGAAGTCTAATGCGATTTCATTTCCCTGTCAACTCTTGAAAGGCTAATATTCAAGCCTTATTACATATTATTTAACCCAGAAGACTGGATGTGATCAAGTACTACAGTCAAGTATGATTCAGGGACTGCAGTGAGATCAGTGACCTTAGATATAACTTGAAGTTTCTTCAGGTAACTGGTCACTGATATAAAACACTGAGGCCCATGGAATACATCTTGATTAAATAATAAATGTATCAAATCAGTCATCAGATTTATTGGGGTTTAATTTAGTTAATTGATTCAGAAGATTGAATAGCTCATCATTAAAGTAAAGTATGGTTCTGAGACTGCAGTGGGTTCAGTGACATTGGTCGCAGTGACTTGTAGCTGTTTTAGGCTACTGTTCACTGATTTGCCACTGAGGCCTCATGAACTCATCTCCAGCTTTAAATGATGATACTAACATCAACCTCTGTTGGTATAGTCAGCTGTAATCTCCTTAGTATAATGCTACTGGAGAAATATAATCAGCTGACAAATTTAGATTTCTACTGGTATTGTTTATCTGCAGGCATAGGTCTCCTCAGGCTTGATATTGGGCCTGAGAGTAATTTACCTCCTGCAGAGTTTAACATGGTTATGCCCTGATATTTAGTAGGGCTACCAATGAATTGATGGTAGTAGTCTGTCCCCACAAGGACAGCCATTTGGCATTTGATTTGCTCAAATTTACCTGCAGCTGCTTGATAATAGCTTTCCAGGTCAGCATAATCAACTTGAGATTGTTGTGACAAATCTTCACATTTCTTGATCTGTCTTGTTAAGTGGCCTTTAAGACCTGCAAGGGTTCTTTTCATTCTCCCTGCATTATCCATCCTGGCTAGTTGGTGAAGCCTTGTGGGGCTTGTACTTGGGCTGCTCATAATACTGAACAAACACTAATGGTAGCCTAGGGTAAATTCTGCACTCACTAGGCAATAATCCTACCTCTACTAGAGGTTAGCACTTAAAATTAATACACATTATATATATACAATCATACACACTAATGATTTGAGTGATAAACCAGTGTCACTGGAAGTACCTTTAGGTTAGCTCTTCTATATCACCCTAGGATGGTAGAGACACTAATTAATCACTCAAAGGTGTAATGATCATAAGTAAATTATTATATATACAACTCAACTCGAGTTGATAAAAATTACACCCAAATTAGGGTCTGGACCATTCATTAATGGTGTTAGGTTGATCAATATAGTACAACTGACTATGGTAATAATGGGACTAGGATGAACGATAATAGTTCAACTAGTCAATGGTTTTATCCTACCCTGTTGTGGGTTGGCAATTAGTAAATATTATACTGTGATCACTAGTGCAATTTATATTAAATAATTCTCTATTTTGGAGAAATAATATACACAATTATTGATAATAGCCTCTTAATTGCCTCTATGAAACTTCTAATATTATCTAGAAGTATTAAATATTATTAGTGACCTCGCGAAATAAAGTCCACAAAATTCGTGGATAATCTCTCGCGAAATGTAACACCACGAAATCCGTGAACAATCTCGCGAAGACACAGTCACTAATTTGGCTGGATTCTATATTAGCGCTGTCATTTCACGAAATAACACGCCACCAAATATCTGTGGGTGTGCATGAAACCGCTGACGAAGCTGAACTGGGCTGAGGGAGGCTCCTGAGCTCCCACGAGGCAACGCCGCTGTCTATGACTGGCTGGCCTTTGTTTAAATCACACTGCACTAGTATATTTAATGAATCCACTGGTTAACTGGTTCATCCGGTACTAAGATGACCAAATGTGGGTTCATAGGACCGAATATTCCGGTTCCGAAGGTCCAATTAATGTGGGAACCGACCTGTGAGATTTATATTTATTTAATTTATATGAATTTATATTTACGTTAATTTATATACTTCGATAGCAATTTGTATAATGATAAGTGGACTGTATTTCTGCAATAATCTCTTAATCTCACAAATCGATCCTCTACACATTAGGGGGGGTTTATATTACACATATGCAGCCAATCAAATTACAGTAATAGCTACATACATTGATGAGGTTCCTTCTCTTATAGTACAGCAGGTTAGTCCACCAGGTATAACTAGAGTGTAGACACCAAATTATCCTCTTTGAGGTAGCTTCTATCACCCAGTAACTGGTGCACATAATCTTGCATCCTCGTCTTGACCTGTCAAAAGTGTGCTAGCTGTGAAGCCAGAATCCTATATATGACAAGCTATATCAGAGAAAACACTATACAGTACATGGAACATTAAAGACCTGGCTTAATTACCTTTAGTATGAGGCGATTTCGCGTTCTAACCGGCTAACCCTATATCCTGACATTAATGGCCACTAATGATAAATAATGGGTTTCGGAAAGAACACTTAACTTGATTTGTTGACAGCGTGTTGACAGATGGTACACCTTTGGTATCCATAACACTACGTCCAAGTAAAATTAACAGGAGCCGAATTTGCTCCCGTGTGAGCCTCTGGTCTCGTATAACAATGGCTGCCCTCCTTCCCCACTCTGACGCCTGGCCTACTTTGTCCAGATTTCAGAAAGTGATAGAAGGGTCACATTTACTCTACTTTAATATTGATAATTAAGTTAATTTATATAAGATGTTTTTATGATGGTAAAGTCTAAAGACTAATGTATTTAAGAATAATTCCCAGCAAAATAGCTGGTGAATTATAATAGTATGTGGTGATGATATCCCGTTTTCTTTAGACGGTAATTCCACTACAAGTTACGTTTTCTATGGGTAACTTGTTGGTAATACAGCAGAAATTATTATCTGTCTTGTATGATATATTAAATGGTGTCGGATTTTCCGACACTCTCTCCCCAGTATTAAAAGCAGAATCAAGGAACTGAATGCTAAGCTTGCAATTAAGATAGCCAGAGATCCCCATTACAATAATATTGTCAAGAAAAAAACATGAGTTCTGCGCTACTTTCATAGGGAAACAGGAGAAGCAAAAAATGGCATCACAGATCAGTCTACTGTCTGGAAGAGCTTCACCTGCTTGAGCAAGCCCGTGAGCTCCTGCCTGTAGAGAGGTTACCTCCCTGGGAGGATGACTCATGCAGGATTATCATCAACAAGATGACAACGGAAAAATCCAACATGATTAGATCAAATCTACACTGATGGGTCATCAAATCCTGCCAATGGCAGGGCTGGTGCAGCATACACTGTAATTAGGAATAATGCCTTTCAAAACGCAAATGAAGAAAAAGCACGTATTGTGAACTATGCCTCTTCAACGTAAAGCAGAACTAACTGCCATTGTTATGGCGTTTAGATTTCTTGAAATAAACACTAATGGTGCAGTGATCTGCACTGATTCAAAAGCAGCGCTACAAACCCTTAATAAAAATCGGGCAGAAAACCTTGCGATAGTCGCTGAAAGCAAGAGAGCTGTGAGAGTATTAACCGATCAGGGAAGAGTCATCAAGTTTCTGTGGATCCCCTCCCATGTTGGAATATGTGGGAATGAACGAGCAGATGTGCTGGCTGCTGAAGGAGACCATATTTAATACTTCATACCCAAGACTCTACTACAAATTAGAGGTATTGTCAGGTAACATCACCGTGACAAGGTAACTGAGGAAAGGAGGATAGAAGCACAAACCAGTGAATCTGTACGATGGTACAACATAGTTGCAGCTGGCAATCCCAATCATTATGGACGAAGAGGAGTGACCCCAGGAGAGAATCAGTCATAGCGAGAATCCGTCTTGGATACAAATACCCATGGAGACTCGGAATAGAAACAACAGTTGATCGGCGGAGTTGCAGAATTTGTGGTGAGAGTGACGGACACCACCTTGACCACTACCTGAGAGAATGTGAACATCTGAGAGACATTAGAAATATGTGTAGCATAGCAAACCCCACATTGTTAACCAGACCACACACTAGAAAGTGAAGGGACGACGACGTTTCGGTCCGTCCGGTCCTGGACCATTCTCAAGTCGATTGTGATGATTCCAGGTCCAAAATGGTCCAGGACGGACCGAAACGTCGTCGTCCCTTCACTTTCTAGTGTGTGGTCTGGTCAACATACTTCAGCCACGTTATTGTGACTCATCGCCTGCATATCAACCCGACATTGTTTGAGTTAGGAAAATACTATCTGTCAAATATAAATGCTGTTCTCAAAAGATTTCCCCATTTTACATCCGGAAGATAACGCAAGTTTTTAAGGGTTGACCAATGTTAATTTGTTTCTTCAGTGTGGAGTTGGACCTTGTGTGGAGGGGGTGTGATCAGCCCCATGATGGGGAGGGGGGCGGTAAGGGAAGGGAAGGGAACTATCAGGGGAAAAGCACCAAGTCATTACGACTATATAGCACTGGGAGGGGTCAGGATAAGGATTTTGGGATGGGACGGGGGTGGGAAGGATTGGTGTCCAACCACTTGGACGGATAGCAAGCCTTACTCTGGATTACGGTTGTAGATTAAGGTATTGTACTTGAGTTATATGCTTAGTAATTAACAGCATTTGCCCCCAGGATAGGATGTTTTTAGAGTAGGATTTAACTGATTCTAATAAATTGTTATTAAAGTTAAATTTGCATTTTAGTTCATTTTCCGTCTCATTAATTCTTTGAGTATAACATCTTGACCCGGCTTGTGTTTGGAGTTTTCAAGTAATTTTCTATGTGACTGAAATGGTATTTATAATTATCAGAAGAATTGTTATTATTAACGCATAAATAATTAAAATAATTATCAAGAGTAAGTCTATGTTCTTGACGTTCCTTCTGGAGAATCAGGACTATTAATTAGCATAACTAATTACCATAATTGAGGAGTGGTGGCAGCAGTCAACATCTCTCAGTGACCTATATAATTATCCTTTGATCATTTAATATTCAAGATAGCCTCATGTACACTTTGTACTTCTCCCGCCTCACATTCACACGCGAATAGGCTATCGGGTCGACAACGAGGGAAGACTGTATTGTCTTTCCATGTTGTATACACATATTTATTGGTAGGATAATTAGTAAGGTAATCAGTCGTTACCAAGTACCCATTATATCTCGGAACGTTATATAGGAGTAGCTCCATTATAAAATTGGGGTCCATCGGCGGCGTTAAGAGTGAGAGCGGTTGCATCGGGGGGAGAACAGTTGCAGGCCGAGTTAAGAGAAGTTTTATTCTGGTTCAACAGACGCCTTTTTCTTCACAGAACGTGCCTTGGCATCCTTGAAGAACTTCGGAACGTGTCCGAGTCATCTGTGTACACAAGCCGAGCAGCAGGAGATCACCAGGTCAATGGAACTCCTACAGAGCAAACACCCAGATCTCTGGAGCAAGCTCATCTTGGCATTGCTTGGTATCAACATTCCGATCATTGGTAGAAAGTAATTTAGTTTCTCGCTGGTTTCATATATACACACACATACATATGTGTGCGTATATGTATATGCATGTGTTGTGCATGTGTTTTGCAAGATATTTGTGTATATTAAAAAAATCGAAAATAAAGTTGTTGATACGATTCTTTTTTTATTACTTAATGCCCCATGTTATAAGTCGGTATCTAGATAGGTCGACATCTCAGCGCATCCTGTTAAAATGTACTATTGGTACTTTCCACCAACTATTTAGTACATTCTGGTGGTCCATCACTACATATTGTTACTTTCTGGTGGTCCGTCACTACATATTGGTACTTTCTGGCGGTCCATTACTACATATTGGTACTTTCTGGGGCCCATCCCTACATATTGGTACTTTCTGGCAGTCCATCACTACATATTGGTACTTTCTGGCGATCCAGCACTACATATTGGTACTTTCTGGCAGTCCATCGCTACATATTGGTACTTTCTGGGGGCCCATCACAACATATTGGTACTTTCTGGCAGTCTATCACTACATATTGATACTTTCTGGTGGTCCATCACTACATATTGGTACTTTCTGGCAGCCCATCACTACATATTGGTACTTTCTGGCAGTCCATCACTACATATTGTTACTTTCTGGTGGTCCGTCACTACATATTGGTACATTCTGGTGGTCCATCACTACATATTGGTACTTTCTGGCAGTCCATCACTACATATTGGTACTTTCTGGCAGTTCATCACTACATATTGGTACTTTCTGGCGATCCAGCACTACATATTGTTACTTTCTGGTGGTCCGTCACTACATATTGTTACTTTCTGGTGGTCCATCACTACATATTGGTACTTTCTGGTGGTCCGTCACTACATATTGGTACTTTCTGGTGGTCCATCACTACATATTGGTACTTTCTGGCAGTCCATCACTACATATTGATACATTCTGGTGGTCCATCACTACATATTGTTACTTTCTGGTGGTCCGTCACTACATATTGGTACTTTCTGGTGGTCCATCACTACATATTGTTACTTTCTGGTGGTCCGTCACTACATATTGGTACTTTCTGGCAGTCCATCACTACATATTGGTACTTTCTGGGGGCCCATCCCTACATATTGGTACTTTCTGGCAGTTCATCACTACATATTGGTACTTTCTGGCGATCCAGCACTACATATTGGTACTTTCTGGCAGTCCATCACTACATATTGGTACTTTCTGGGGGCCCATCCCTACATATTGGTACTTTCTGGCAGTTCATCACTACATATTGGTACTTTCTGGCGATCCAGCACTACATATTGGTACTTTCTGGCAGTCCATCACTACATATTGGTACTTTCTGGGGGCCCATCCCTACATATTGGTACTTTCTGGCAGTTCATCACTACATATTGGTACTTTCTGGCGATCCAGCACTACATATTGGTACTTTCTGGCAGTCCATCACTACATATTGGTACTTTCTGGCAGTCCATCACTACATATTGGTACTTTCTGGCAGTCCATCACTACATATTGGTACTTTCTGGGGGCTCATCGCTACATATTGATACTTCCGACCAAAAAAGTACTGGCAATACCGTCCTTTCAAGAGGAAGACTGCTATATCTAGACATATCGATATTTATACAAAAGAGCTTTTCAATGCTCTTGAAATTTAAAGAAGAAATGTATTCGAAACGGGATGAAACTGAAGGCAGAGCTCAGTCACACAAGGGCAATGTAGAGCCCTCAGTGATGTTAACACAATAGTCCTCAGTGATGCTGACACAATAGAGCCCTCAGTGTTGTTAACACAATAGAGACCTCAGTGATGTTAACACAATAGAGCCCTCGGTGATGCTGACACAATAGAGCCCTCGGTGATGCTGACACAATAGAGCCCTCAGTGTTGTTAACACAATAGAGCTCTCAGTGATGTTAACACAATAGTCCTCAGTGATGCTGACACAATAGAGCCCTCAGTGTTGTTAACACAATAGAGCTCTCAGTAATGTTAACACAATAGATACCTCAGTGATGTTAACACAATAGAGCCCTCGGTGATGCTGACACAATAGAGCCCTCAGTGTTGCTAACACAATAGAGCTCTCAGTTACATTACCGTAATAGAACCCCTCAGTCACAGGAGCAGCAACACTAGAGTAGTCGGTCTACCTTACATGACTAAGGAGAGATACAGGTTTTCTAAGTGCACGCGTAAATATTTCAAGAATCCTGGTAGAATTTGCTTCAAGGTAATTTTGTAACAAGCGTCAAAAGATAGTTATTTGCTTAGCTAAACGAACTAGAGGGTTCAGTTCCTGAACCGATTATGTGCCTCTGTAATCCTTTACACCACCGCCCACGGGATGGGTATGGGGTGCATAATAAAGAAAGAAATTGAATTGAATTCAATTGAGTAATTCATAGGCTACGCTTGCCTAGGTAGCGGTTGAACCCAAACATGTATCGAATATCGTATATTTCGCCAATATCGATAATGGCCACGTAACCTAACCTAGGTAAAACTATTCAGCACATTGTAGTATATAATGATATTACCAAAGATTTGAGAAATGTAAATTTTGAATACGTCTTTGTGTTCGGCTGCCACTTGGATAAGGCTGTTCTGAGGACAGTTGGTTTATTAACCCGTTCTCAGATCAAGTCTATTTCATCCAGCAGTCGACCCCAAGGACCCATTCATCAATTTTAATATGCTGTGAATGTTCTCAAATATAAATTAATATTGTTATATATTAGCACACTGTGCATATTTGGGCATGGGTTAGACTAGTTTAGGTAATTTACTTCTCTAAATAACAGTTTCTTAACTTGTTAACAATTTAATAAACAAATTTGGGTCCCGGACTTGAAGATATTTTTTCAATAGTCCGCTTTTTGTTGACATAGTTTATTGGATTTTATATGATAACAAAAACCTGATACCCTTGGCTTGATATAATCTGGGTGTTCAGGGCAGATAATTGTCTACTTTGCCAGTGATTGATACGTGCTGGAGAGGCTATTTCTACCATATCGTTCGCTGAGTACGTTAGCATTTTACTGTGTACATTTTGGACCTGGCCCTCCAGTATCTTCCATATATATATTTGAAAATAGTTGGGGCGTTTCCTATCACCTAATGCCCCTGACCATCTAGCAGTAAATAGGTACCTGCAGGAGTTAGTCAGCTTGTTCTGTTGCACTGTGGGGATGGGGTTAGTTATTCGACCCTTTGGGGGGTGGGGGTGGATCTCGATAAAAGCCTAGCATGTACTATATGTATAAACTGGCTTCCTGTCCCCCCAACACAACGAATTATTGTTATTATTATTATTTGGTACCTCTCTCGTCTTCTTTCTAAGAGAGTACATTTTGAGAGCTATGAGACGGTCCTAATAATTTGTCATATAAGCTCTCTACATTCCCACTGTTTCAGCAATCTCTCCTGCTCCGAAAAGGGAAGTGAGTACCGAGCCGTACTCAAGCCGGGACAGTACCAGTGATGTGAATAGATGGAGCAAAGGTTCTCTTAATCCATCCCGTCATGTTCCTAGTTAATGCTATATTTGTTTCAGGTCGTCAGACATCATTATTCCTAAATGTTTTACCTCTACGAGTAGATCTGAGCGTGCCTGTACCCTGTACTTCGTTATCATGTTATTTTTCGTTGCTCAATTGAAGTCTATTAATATCTGCTTGTAGTTTTCAATGTCTTCCACAGAAGTAATCTTCATGTTGATTTTTGTATCGTCCCTCAAGGATAACACGAAGCTGTGACTAGTATTTTTTTCTGTATCTGATATAATAAGGAGAAAAAGCAGTGGTTCAAGGACTGTGTCCTGAGATACAGAGCTATTCACTGTGCTTGAACTTGATTTTGTTTGTTTTAACTATACTTTTTGCGTTCTGTTTAAGTTTGACTGCAAATCCATCGCCCCACTTTACCCGTTATTCTTTTTATCTCATTTTATGGGCTATCACTCCATGGTCACACTTATCATATGCCTTTGCCAAGTTTGTGTATACAACATTTTGTTTTTCTGCATTTTGGTTTTCTTCTAGGAAAAACTTTTTTTTTGCTTATAGGAGCTGCCTCGTATGGGCCGATAGGCTTTATGCAGTTACCTTTATTTTTATGTTTTAATGCTTCAGTGATTTTGTTGTAGGGATTGAGTAATTGCAAAAAACAGGTTCTTCCCGCTCTAAATCTATGTTGATCTGGGTTGTGAAGTTCATTGTTCTACATAAAACTGGAGATCTTGATCCCTGATCACTCCTTCAAAAACTGTGTGTGATGTAAGTTCGGCCGGTCCATAGTTTTTGGCCAATTTTTCTGCCTCACTTGTGTGGAGCTATTTCTGCTGCTTTAAGTTCTTCTGGTATCTCGCCGGTATCCAGGCTTTTCTCCATATTACACTGATCACTAGTGCTACTGGTACTTTACATTTCTTTATAATTGTGGAATTCCAGGATTGATGATTGTTACGACCCCGGGTGCCTCTATGATATAGAAACAAAGGGTCAGAGTGGGTCCATAGAATTACCAAAAGCTACCCAAAGCATGCTAGCATTACGTAAGTAATGAAGAAAGTATATTTACTCACTATGATGTTGATGCTTAATGCAGAACATAATCAAACTTATTTTTACACTAAAATAATCTAATTTCATAACGAAATTGGAAATAAATATGTAGCAGGTGACGCCATAGGAAGCCGAGGGTCCAAGCGACAATGTTGAGGAGCGACTTATCCAAGATATATTAGTCGCCGGGAGTGTTTGCTGCCATATCAGCCTCCTACACAGTCATCCAGTAGTCCCACATTGCTCAAATTGTCGCAAATTTCATTGGTGATATTAAGAAGTATGATGCGTATTTATGATAATATATTTGATAAATATATTATCCACCTCATCCAAAACTTTTGTCACCTCAGACGGCTGAGCGGACAGAACACTGGGCGCGTGATCCTGTGGTCCCGGGTACCGGCGAGAAACAATGGGCAGAGTTTCTTTCAACCTGATGCCCCTGTTACCTAGCAGTAAATAGGTACCTGGGAGTTAGTCAGCTGTCAAAATATCTGAAATGTCGGAAATTTGACTCCTTAGCGTGATTTTTGAGCCGAATTCTGACTGCACCTATTTTCATTTTCATATTAAGAATTTTTATACCGAAAATATGCCAATTACTGAATACGGCGGTGGGTCATATTTTGCCCAAACCCCCGTGAAGTTTTCAAAATGTCTAAAATGTCGGAAATTTGACTCCTGAGCGTGATTTTTAAGCCGATTTCTGACTCTCTGCACTTATTTTCATTTTCAAATTACGACTTTTTTTACCGAAAATATGCTAATTACTGAATTCGGCGATGGGTCATATTTTGCCCAAACCCCCCTGCAGTTTTCAAAATATCTGAAATGTCGGAAATTTGACTCCTGAGCGTTATTTTTTAGCCGATTTCTGGCTCACTGCACATATTTGGAATTTAAAATTACCATATTTTATACCGAAAATATGCCAATTAGTGAAAACTGTAAGAAGTTTTGGGCAACATGTGACCCACGGTTGCAAACGCATACCAACGAATATTGATCGGATATTTTTAACAAAATTATTGTCTTGTGGAGTCGAGTTAACTTCCAGACACTTTTTTTTTTAATATATAATAAATGTTTTTTTTGCTATTAATGAAATATACTATTATAAACACGCATTCTATTTGTTAATATCACCTATTAAATTTGCGACAATTTAAGCAATGTGGGACTACTGGATGACTGTGTACAGGAGGCTGATATGGCAGCAAACACTCCCGGCGACCATATATCTTGGATAAGTCACTCCACGACATTGTCGTTTGGACCCTCGACTTCCTATGGCGTCACCTGCAACATATTTACTTCCAATTTCGTTATGAAATTAAATTATTTTAAAGTAAAAATAGGTTTGATCATGTTCTACATTCAGCATCAACAGTGTAGTGAGTAAATATACCATTTATCTTCACTACTTACGTAGTGCTAGCAAGCTTTGGGAAAGCCTATGGACCGGCCAGGGGTAGAACAAGTACAACCCATCCGCCGAATAGACAGTACGTTTTAATACTAAATGTAATAAGTACATTCCTGTCTGTCTGCATAGTCCATAAATACACTTAATTGTGCTGTTAATTTTGCCTTCCCATATATTCTTCTCATTTTCTGTTAAGACACTCAAAGTTTCTAGGTTAACGTTTTCGTGATAAACTTTATATTCACAAGTTTTAAATATAAAGAATTTCTTTTTCAGTTTTATTTAACAATAGAGATTTTATACAAAATTTGAAAGTATCCTGAGTTACTTTATAATTTATTGAAAGACTTTAGTTTTCTTTTATTAGTTTCATAAAACTGTAATAGCAATATGGATGTAGGTTAAGTACTAATTGTAATTAAGAAGCAATAAATGCTGTTTACATGCTTAATTGTCCTCCTACACTCCTAAGGTTAGCTTAGGTCGTGGTTTTCTAGACAACTTTTCAGGTAAACTCTAATATTCACAATAATTTGGTGTGATGCTGGCGATTAAGTGTATTTATGTACTATGCTGATAGTCAGGATTGTACTTATTACATTTAGTATTAAAACGTACTGTCTATTCTGTATATCTATTTAGTATATTTCTGCCCGAAACGCTGCGCGTACTAGTGGCTTTACAAGAGTGTAATTACTGTACTATGTATTCTCACGAACCCAATGTACCTTCTTGTATATAAATAAATAAATAAATAAATATATAAATATATAAATATATAAATAAATAAATAAATAAATAAATAAATAAATAAATAAATAAATAAATATATAAATATATAAATAAATAAATATATAAATAAATAAATATTCGGAGGATGGGCGGCACTTTACAGATGTTGAGTGGCAGTTTGTTTAAGGTACTGCCAACCGTATGATGTAGGCTTCATGCTTATTTTGAGAGAATAAGAAAGTTTCTTCAGTGGAAGGAAGTTAGAAGGTTACACTATAGGTTATGTTAATATTTAAGAGAATGGTGGCTGCTTAGTAGTTTAGAGAAAGTCGTTACTGTACGACAGTTGGGTCAAGCAGGCGCCGTGGTGGTGGACGAGGAGAGGTCAGAGCTTTGAATGACGCTGGCGGGGATGGTTACGGTGAAATGGCGCTCCTGGTTCTTAACCGATAAGTTCTCATTCCCTTAATTTATACTAAAGCCACCATTCATTATTCATTATTTATAATGTTCGATTGCTACTCCAGCTTAGGGTAGATATATGTTTTATGGTATATAAAGCTGGAGAGAATTATTGTGTGTTGGGTGAGGGAGGGCTGTTTAAAGCGTTAAGCTTAAGACCAGTATAGGCCTACTTCTAGTATTGTCTGTGTAATTCATACTCCGGCCTATGTGGAGTATCAGATGTAGAGTACATGTAGATCAGATAGAGCAAATGCTATTGTCCTGGTGGGAAGTTGTAAACGAATAAAATACTGTTAATTTGTATGTAGCCATTAGTTACACCAGTGTGGAGTAGCCTCCACACTGGTGTAAGAACCTTAACACAGGATCATCATTATTTATGGGAGTAAATTCCCAGGTGCTCGGACCTTGTGTAACTCTTGGGGGTTTTCAAGTGTTAAACACTATAATTATTTTGGGCCAAATGTAAGAGGTGAATAACTAGTTACTTTGCAACACAGCCAACACACGTGGAGCCATGACAAGGACGCGGGGCTGAGTGCAGCATGGGCTTGTGCTGCACTCGTGGTGACATCTGTTACACACTCGTGGTGACATCTGTTACACACTCGTGGTGACATCTGTTACACACTCGTGGTGACATCTGTTACACACTCGTGGTGACATCTGTTACACACTCGTGGTGACATCTGTTACACACTCGTGGTGACATCTGTTACACACTCGTGGTGACGTCTGTTACACACTCGTGGTGACGTCTGTTACACACTCGTGGTGACGTCTGTTACACACTCGTGGTGACGTCTGTTACACACTCGTGGTGACGTCTGTTACACACTCGTGGTGACATCTGTTACACACTCGTGGTGACGTCTGTTACACACTCGTGGTGACATCTGTTACATTGTCTCGAATTTGGATATCGTTCATCAAGAAGCGGTTTGGGTGGTCAACTTTCATGTTGTTTATCGGGGTGCTAAATAGCCTCAGGTCTTTTAGGATTTCATTAATTTTTTTATTGTCCTCTATATGTGAACCTTCTTTTGTAAGTATAAGTCCAATACTGGTGTAGAATTTTTATTTTGGTTTTGCAATGAAGAAAAATCTGGATTTTCGATTTTTGTTTATCTTAGATTAATAGTTTTGTTCCAATTCCATTTCCTTAGACTGGTATGACAGCTTTAGTGTCTGGTCTACTTCTGCGATCTCCCTGTTTACATTTATTCTTGTTTGTTGTGATAGTCGTGTTTGCTAAAGCCTTTTCCTGAGTTTTTCCGTTCTTTTGTAGAGTCGTTTGCGTTCTCTTACTGACTCTTGCCTTACGCAAAGGCACATGATTCAAGCAAGACTTTGTAGGCTTCCGCAGTCATTTAGTTGTTCCTTACGTGGAAGTTTTCTTCCTTAAGACGGTTTCCAAGTGATTTTTTGTATACATTGTATATTTTTTTCCCTGTCAATCCTCTTATTTTTAAACTTGAATTGATTGAACAACCTTTCTTGCTTATTAATCCTTTTGGACATGTTACGTGCAATGATGTTAGTTTGAACTTCAGTAAGCTTTTGATCTGCGTACTTAGTATCTGAGCTTGTAATGACCCTGATTATTTCATCGTTTGTGAACATCAAATCGAGAATAATTCGTTCCTAGTTGGCTCTGTTATCTATTGGTTGAGCAAACATTTGCCACAGAATCAACACTTTGGCATCCTGATGACGCTCTTGGCGTCATCAAAACAATATACAAAGAGCGGGAGGTTGACACACTCGGCGTTATGCATTAATTTTTCCTTATTCTTATTATTAGGCATAAACATTGTGAGTGAAATAGTTTAACATGTGGTTGTGTGCTTACATGTGATGCCTGGCCTACCTTCCGGTGCTATGCTGGTGGCCCGCCGGACACCCGTTCCCTGACCTGTGACTGGTTACTTCCAGGTTAATTACCTGTTATAATATTATTATCTGTTAGTCTCCATCTTAAACTTGTTAGACTAGAGTCTCCCAGGAAGATAACATCAGGTACTGGGTTTGCTAATATATCTATACAAGGGTAAAGAAACACATGTATGATAGCTTTGCTCATGTCGCTTCAGGAAGCCAGACACGTGCAGTATAATTAATTACAAACTATTTAAATTACGTGAATAATACAAAAAAAATTATGTACTTATGCTACCAGGGACCACGTCGACGATCAGTTATTAATTTATTTATGATAAGGAATTTCTCCTATGCAGATATGGCCATATACACTTATACAATGCTAACCCGCATACATACATTTTGTCTGTCCTACATAGACAGAGTTAGAGAGCTGCTACATAGTTATTGAGTACTCAATCCCAGGTGACTATAAAGTGCTTATACAATACTAAATAGGATGCATATACGTTAATCTGTACGACATAGATGGAGTCAGAGATCTGCTTTAAGCTATACATGCTTCTTAACTAAGATTTATAAATCGGAATATATTAATGGTACTCTATTATTGAGTGCTCCTGTGCACTCTAATACAAGAGTACACAACTGCTCCTGTGCACTCTACCACCAGAGTATACAACTGCTCCTGTGCACTCTACCACCAGAGTACACAACTGCTCCTGTGCACTCTACCACCAGAGTACACAACTGCTCCTGTGCACTCTACCACCAGAGTACACAACTGCTCCTGTGCACTCTACCACCAGAGTACACAACTGTTCCTGTGCACTCTCCCATCAGAGTATACAACTGCTCCTGTGCACTCTACCACCAAAGTACACAACTGCTCCTGTGCACTCTACCACCAGAGTACACAACTGCTCATGTGCACTCTACTACCAAAATACATAACTCATTCAAGGTTCCCGGTACATACAATTTATACAATAGTGTATCTCTACAAAGTCTTATAAACATTCTAGTATAAATATAGCATCATATATAAGACTATGAATGTGGTTCTATTACAACAGGTTGAGGGTGGCTGGCTGGCTGGATCCCCTATTGCCTGAGCAGCCAGCCTGTCTGGCTCCTCAGCCATAGAAATATTAATTTATAACTCTGAGGTGAGTCTATTGACGTTTGAGGTCTGTGTCATTTGCTCTAGAAGCTTCGGGTGGAGGCTTCTACAGTCTTCAGTGTATCCGTCTTCTTGACTACCGGGGCATGGTATGGACGCATGGTATGGACCGAGTTTCTAAGTTTCATAGTTTAGTTTGGTTACCCCGAGTTTCTTTCTTCCACTTTCTTTGAGTTGCTCCTATATGTTTCTTCGTCTCATTTTCGTTCCCAGAGTCCAACGAGGGGCATTTGCCTTATTTGATCTCACATGAAAAAGGCTATTCATGTCCACTTTGTCACTTTGATGTAGTATTATGTACGTTGTGATCATGTTTCCTCCCTGGTCTTCCTCTCGAGTCATTAGGTTGAGTTCTCGTATCTAGTCATCTTTGTTTACTTAGCTTCAAAATAAAGCTGATAGCCCTGATAAAAACCTTTAAACTCTTTGAAGTTTGTATTTGTGCTACACGAGTTGCTGTACCAACGATGCATATGTTAGCATTGGTCTGACGTAAGTTGCTTGAGAACCTCTGCAAGAGGCAGGACGGAATGGTTAGCTCTCAGCTAAGGAAGGGGGGAATTATCAGGGGAAAGCGCCAAGCCATTACGACTATATAGCACTGGGAAGGGGTCAGGATAAGGATTTGGGATGGGACGAGGGAAGGAATGGTGCCCAACCACTTGGAGGGTCGGGGATTGAACGCCGACCTGCATGAAGTGAGACCGTCGCTCTACCGTCCAGCCCAAGTGGTTGGCTCAGCTAAGGAGAGCTAATTCTTAAGTAGAAATTGAGAAAATTGGAGAAATATACAAATAAGAAATGAACAACAAAGACTTGCAATGAGACCTCAGAGTAAAAAACTCATCCCTAATAAGAGGGAAGGAGTGAAGCTTGAGATGAGTGCCTTGGGGAGGCAGGCGGGGATTGAACCCTTCAGGAGAGCGCACGCCGCCGTGGAGACTAGCAGAGGGTGCTCTAGGTTGAGTGGTCCCGAGGGGCGAGAGAGAGAGAGGTTCATCTGCCGTACTGGGCCGCCACGGTCGCCACCTCCTCCTCCTTCTGGGGGAAGGGCAGCGTACCCCCGGCGCCATCTGTAATAATAAATAAAATAACATAAAATAAAATAAAATGTTTATTTAGGTAAGGTACATACATACAATAAATTTTTACAAAGATTGGTTGACTTATAGGTAGAGCTAGTACATACAATGCCTAAAGCCACTATTACGCAAAGCGTTTCGGGCATGATAAACTTAAATGACAATGAGACAAACGGGAGAAAATCAGTTGGAACACTGAGGTGACTCGAACCAGTGATCATGGTACTCTCTGCCGCGCACCTTGCCCCATGTACCACAACAAAGAGAGAAAGTAAGCACACATGGATCAAATATCAGGCGTGGGGGGGGGGATCCTTGCTTCCTCAGACACTCCAACATGACCATTACGACATCACACACATCGCCCACACTATATATAAAATTCAAAATCTTATTTCTTGCACATTACTGGCCATTCATGCCCGTGCCACCTCTCGTGGTGGCTTAATCTTCATCAATCACTCAATCTTATCTCTTGCGTTTTGTTCGGTTATTCTAGCTTAGGCTATGTTAGGGTTGTTTACAAAGTAGTGATGACGTAGCGGAGTAAATAAATAAATAAATGTTTATTTAGGTAAGGTACATACATACAAAAGATTTTACAAAGATTGATGGATTTATAGAGCTAGTACATACAATGCCTAAAGCCACTATTACGCAAAGCGTTTCGGACATACTGTGCTCAGATCTTAGTCCCTATACTCGTAATATTCGGAAATGTTCACCGTTCAGTAAATGTCCTTCAGTCAGTTGATGCATTTAAAGTCCCACTGGTTGTCTCTGGATGAACCGATACAATGGCTTGTTTGGCGATCCATCGATCGACAGTTTTCACTAATCACTAAAACTGGTGTGTGTATTCTGAATGTAAATAGTTCGATATGCCTAGAGGATCGAGCTATTAACTCTTGGATCACGCCCTTGCAACCATTGGTTCTCTAGTGGACTGACTGCCGACCTATTTTCCCTATCATTACTATAATAGGAACACTATCATAGTGTATTTTCCCTATCATTACGCGGGAACACACACACACACACACACTTGATAAAAGGGGTCAAGGAGCCTGATAGCTGTGTGGACAGCGCTCTGGACTCGTAACCCTGCGGTCCGGGTTCGATCCCCGGTGATGGCAGAAACAAAAAAAGGGACAAAGTTTCTTTCACCCTGATGCCCCTGTTACCTAGCAGTAAATAGGTACCTGGAAATTAGACATCTGTTACGGGCTGCTTCCTAGGGTGTGTGTGTAAAAAAAACTAGTAGCAGTTGATTGAGTGACAGTTGAGAGGCGGGCCGAAAGAGCAGAGCTCAACCCCGTCAGCACAACTAGGTGACACACAACACATCCCCAAGATGCAGGCCACAAGTCTCAGGTTCCAATATTTACTGTTGGGTAAACAGTGAACATCAGGCGAAAATAAACGTCAACAAATATTTTGTCTCGGCTGGGGAATCAACCCGGGTCTCACGAGTGTGAGTCAGGGTCGTTTACTTCTGTACTAAAGTGGCTTGTGTGAGGGGGGGGGTCACCATCTTAACATTCTAGTCCTTTCTAATCAACAGGACCACTCCTCCTCCCTTACGTGTCTTCCTTACACTATTGTAATTCAGAGGGAAGAATGCATTAGTTATGACACCTGACAATGTTGTCTCTTGAGCTCAGTTACCACACACACACACACATACACACACACACACACACACACACACACACACACACACACACACACACACACACACACACACACACACACACACACACACACACACACACACACACACACACACACACACACACACACACACACACACACACACACACACACACACACATACACACACACACACACACACACATACACACACACACACACACACACACATACACACACACACACACACACACACACACACATACACACACACACACACACACACACACACACACACACACACACATACCTCACGACACCGTCAGTGCACCTCACGACACTGGAAGACAGAAGAGTAAGGGGGGACATGATCACAACCTACAAAATCCTCAGGGGAATCGACCGGGTAAACAAGGATGAACTATTCAACACTGGTGGGACGCGAACAAGGGGACACAGGTGGAAGCTGAGTACCCAAATGAGCCACAGAGACGTTAGAAAGAACTTTTTCAGTGTCAGAGTAGTTAGTAAATGGAATGCATTAGGAAGTGATGTGGTGGAGGCTGACTCCATACACAGTTTCAAATGTAGATATGATAGAGCCCAATAGGCTCAGGAATCTGTACACCAGTTGATTGACAGTTGAGAGGCGGGACCAAAGAGCCAGAGCTCAACCCCCGCAAGCACAATTAGGTGAGTACAATTAGGTGAGTACACACACACACACACATATATATATATATATATATATATATATATATATATATATATATATATATATATATATATATATATATATATATATATATGTCGTACCTAATAGCCAGAACGCACTTCTCAGCCTACTATTCAAGGCCCAATTTGCCTAATAAGCCAAGTTTTCATGAATTAATGTTTTTTCGTCTACCTAACCTACCTAACCTAACCTAGCTTTTTTTGGCTACCTAACCTAACCTTACCTATAAATATAGGTTAGGTTAGGTTAGGTAGGGTTGGTTAGGTTCGGTCATATATCTACGTTAATTTTAACTCCAATAAAAAAAAATTGACCTCATACATAGAGAAAAGGGTTGCTTTATCATTTCATAAGAAAAAAATTATAGTAAATATATTAATTCAGGAAAACTTGGTTTATTAGGCAAATCGGGCCTTGAATAGTAGGCTGAGAAGTGAGTTCTGGCTATTAGGTACGACATATATATATATATATATATATATATATATATATATATATATATATATATATATATATATATATATATATATTGTTTCCCCAAGTTCACTTGCTTTGCTTGCAATAACATCTATGTTTGTGAATGTTATTTTGAAGTTCTCTTTCTTCCGTCCATTCTCTTACCCTCAAATTAATTTGACATCCGTCCCACTGGTGCAGGAAATTGTTCTGTGTAGAGGGTATTAGTATAGGGTTATTGCATGGTCAAGGAACAACGGGGTTGTTGGTAATGGTGACATAAGCAAGTTGTCTTAGCGTGTGGAGAGTGTATCATGGTGAGTCTGGGGCTAGAGAGGTGGCTCCCAAGCTGTGGCACACGGAGGGATTTAGTTCTTGTCTAGACTTACGTGGAGGTGTAGAAGATGAGTCACAATAACGTGGCTAAAGTATGATGACCAGACCACACACTAGAAGGTGAAGGGACGACGACGTTTCGGTCCGTCCTGGACCATTCTCAAGTCGATTGTCGTCGACTTGAGAACGTCGTCGTCCCTTCACCTTCTAGTGTGTGGTCTGGTCATCTTACGTGGTGGTGTAGGAGATGAAACAATTATGCAGGTGCTGTGAGCTAGAGGGAGAGGCCAGGGAGGGTGTGAGACAGAGAGGGTCAGTATGGGATGGGGAAGGTTGTGGGTCACATTTAGGGAAGGGAGTTTTCTAGAGGATGGCTAATTTAGACTTCTGCTGCCCTTCTCTCTGGGTCTTTGGAGTTGTTTAGATATACAGGATTGTCTTTGAATTCACGTATCGTTTCTATCACATAGTGATGGAGAGTGTATGAATAAATTGTTGGTACAGTTTACATTTGGTCAGGTCAACAGATAATGAAAAATTCCCAGATTTTCAGATAATGAAAATTCCCAGAGATACGTATAACTGAGTCTAAGCTGACCAGTAGTAACATCTAGGAGCCTGCTGATTATATTGGATGATCCATAGATGTGTGGCTCCTCTTGCATGATAGTATGATGATAGATGGAACTGCTGTTGTAGAATTCACTTTGCCTCGGATCTACAGGGTTTTGTTGAAGTACTTTGCGATATATTGTTCTCAAGCTGCTTACAGGCAATCCAAGGTTATAATCGACTCCTTTGAAGGCAGATTTTTTTGGCTAACTCATCAGCTTCATCATGCATTCGGAGGCTGGAATCCACGTTAATAACTTTGTTGTATTTGTCTCTAGCTTCAGACATGAGCATGTTAGTTATTTCTTATAGTTGTGCGCAATTAAGGATGATACAGAATCACTTACAATTAATATATCAAGTTTGGAAACATATGAGTGTAAGAAGCAATGCAAATAGTTTGGTCTGAAGGGGTAGACCTAGATTAAACTAACACGCCCTCACAAGGCGCAGATGATGCTAACACGCCCTTACAAGGCGCAGATGATGCTAACACGCCCTCACAAGGCGCAGATGATGCCAACTCCCTCACAAAGCGCGGTTGTTGCCAACTAGAGGCCAAGGCAGATGGAGATATGAGGCTATAAATATGATGATTGTACCCACAGGGAGGACGAGCTGGGTCGTTTGAACCAAGTACTGTCCACTACTGTCCCACTGTGGATAGGTACGGAGTCCATACCTAGTTAAACACAAGACAAAGTTGGAGAAGATTCAGAGGTATGCCACCAGACTAGTCCCGGAAATAAGAGGTATGAGCTACGAGGAAAGACTATGGGAGCTAAACCTCACGTCCCTGGAAGACAGAAGAGTAAGGGGAGACATGATCACCACCTACAAACTTCTCAGGTGAATTGACAGGGTGAACAAAGACAAACTATTTAGCACGGGTGGAACACGAACAAGGGGACACAGGTAGAAACTTAGTACCCAAATGAGCCACAGAGACGTTAGAAAGAATTGTTTCAGTGTCAGAGTAGTTAACAGATGGAATGCACTAAGCAGTGATGTGGTGGAGGCTGACTCCATACACAGTTTCAAATGTAGATTTTATAGAGCCCAATAGACTCCAGATGTGTAGACCAGTTGATTGGCAGTCGAGAGGTGGGACCAGGGAGCCAAAGCTCAACCCCCGCAAGCACAACTAGGTGAGTACTATACTGACGAGCAGAGTTATCTGCCGGCTACTGACAAGATA